CAGCAGAAGTAAGCAGATAACCCTTTTGATTATCATTCTCATTTCCAGGAATCTTTGCTTCAATGAAGAAGCCTGAGTGGATCAAAATCTGCATGAGAAGATAAACGAAAGGGGCTTTTGCATTCTTGATGGGAAGAGCATCAATCAATTGATCAAGGGTCATCGGCTGGCCATGTTTGTGAATAACGTCTGGAATGCCTAATTGAATTGCACATTTGAGGGACATAGAATTTATGAAGTTGAACATATGGTTCCATATGTGAGCTTGTGCTTGAAAAAGCTCACCAGTATGATCACCAATATTTCTAGCCAAATCCATTTTTTTGTTTGAAATTCTAGGATTTTTTTTTCGCTTTTTGGTTGGGAATTACAAGTAGAACTCGCATTTTATAGGCCGGGTATGGGATTCACTGCAATAACGTTGCAATAGTTTCTTCTAATAATATGACAACAACCGGTTAGAAAAATGAATAAACAATGAAATCAACTCAGAAACAAGGATCCAAAGGCAGCTGATTGTTGTCGACAAGGAATAGCTTGTGGGCAATTATATCAGTCCCCTTTTCTTGACCAATTCATATATGAGTATATAGGTTACTCTAGGCTCCTACTTGGTGCAATAATTCAGTGTTTCTAGAGACTTGCTTAAATTAAAGTGTATAATCAGCACAAATTAATTAATTGTTCTTTTTTTTCCATGTGTATTATCACTTGAGAAAATCGCACAATTCACACTGCTGGTGGTGCTTTCTTGTTTGGAAGACGAAATTTAAATAGTGACAACTTTTGAGTCATGGTTGAGATTTTATTGGATTTTCAGGATTCTAGCATTTAATTAATGAGGAAAATTGGTGCATGTCGAGCACCTTAATATTATGAATAACAATTCATTAGAGTGCAGCAGAGCCTGGGAGAAAGATAGGAAATAAATGAACTCAATTATTAAGTGAATCTTTGAGCAGATATGTCAAGAGTGAAACTGTAATAAAATTAGAACATATATTCTTGATTGGAATAGGAGTGAATCGGCAGGCCATGTTAATATCTGCTTACGAAGATAAATTACACATGTGAGGAAAAGAGAGTTTATGAAGTTGAATATATGGTTTCATTAGCAATTTTTTTTTAAAATTTTTTTATCACTCTAGAATGGTTTCGATTGCAAGCGTAGAAGAAATTGGAATTTATAACGCAGGTCACGAGGCTAAAATAAATCACGTAGCAATAATTTCTGTGAATAAACTTAACAAAGTCAGCAAACAACGCCCTATCAAGATGAGCTTATTGAGAAAAATATATATGTAAAAAAAATGAAAGACAAATAACACAATGAGATCAACTAAAAACGCATTAAATTTGACAAATTTCAATTAACCTTTGTCACAACCATCTGCAACCTACCTCAACTCCATTTCAATGAGTTGCAACTCTTCCAAATTGGCTAGGCAACTTGTCCAAAGATTGATTGTTTCAACATCTTATTAGAGATTAAGAATTAAAAGTAACATAAACAAAGCTTAATGCAATTTGTGTGGTTGAGATCACAAGTTGTAACTTGATTTTTAATGTATGTGTGAAATTCACAAAAATTTACTATAAAGCTATGCGATGTACAAAAAAAATTACGTACAGTTAAAAATGGGCAAAACCGCCCGGAACCGTTGTCCACCACGAACTACCCTTTCATCCAGAAATCTTATTTGGAACGTGTTTTTTGTGGCCATACAAGTGAAATCATTGCCGCCTACCCGTGGTCCTGCACGTACCCTTATAGTCAACCATCTTATCTGGAAATCTTATCCGGAACATGATTTTTGTGATCATGCAAGTGAAATTGGTGCCCTCTATTGAGATATCCCACATCGGAAGTCAAAAGAAGAAAGAAAAGTAATATAAGTTCCAATTTGTTGAATTATTTATAATTTTGAGTTAACTATTTTGAACCGAGACTTCAACTCAAAAAGTTATTAGGAGTTCTATAAAATTAGAGGAGTGAGATATCCCACTATTATAATTTTGATTTGAAATGAAATATGAGCTTTGGCACGTTGGATTACTAATAATTTTGATTTAATCATTTTAAACCTATATTTTTAAATCAAAAACTTATTGGGACAGTCCAATGGACCCGGGGTGATACAACTATCCTTTCATTCACCACTATACATACACATATATGTGCAAAAGTTTATGCACTTAGAATCTCACAGCAAATGGCTTTTAATCAGTCTTTCTTCCTTGTTCTTGTGCTCCTTGCATCTAGTTAGTCTCTCATACTGATATTATTTTATCATTTACGTACAATCATAATTAACACAATAGTTCCTCTCTCTCTCTTCCCCCCCTCCCCCCCCTTTTTAGCATATTTCATATAGTAATCAAATTATTTCGTTTCAGGTAATATGAAAGCAATGAAATAGTATCATGCAAAAGTGTGTGTATGTACAATCATAACTAACACAATAGTCTTTCTTTGTCTTTCTATTTTTTTTTAGCATATTTCATATAGTGTTCAAATTATTTCGTTTCAAGTAATATGAAAGGAAGGAAATAGTATCATACACCCGCACGCGCGCATACACACATATAATAAGAGCATTTTTTGTCCAATACTAGCTAAATGTACTACTAAGATTTTTTTTCCCCAATTTCTTTTGCAGGTGTGGTGTTAGGAAAAGTTGAAGCTGCAGAAGCTACAGAAACCACCAATGCCGTCAAAACTGCATCAAGAAAAATGCTGCCAATTGGAGGACAGATTATAAAAATGCTTGGGGTTAGAAAAGATACCTGTATAGGTCTTTTGGAATCCTGCAAGGACGATCCATATGGCTGTTGTCCTGGCTGTGTCTGTTTGTGGCCTGGGGACTTGTGTCGTGGTGACTGCTGAATCATGCTGAAGCTCCAAGCTAAAATGCTGCTAGCATCTAAATGAACAATTAGCAAATTGTTCTTGCTGTAACATAAATAAATGGAAGCGTGGTTCTAGTGTAAAATATGTTATCTCCTGCTATTGAATAAATTATGATAAATGGATTTTCAGTAGGAAATCCATTGGTGTATGGACTTTTCATGGTAATGAATTTTGAGTTAAAACTCCTTGCAGTTTAGAATTTTTTTGCATATGTCCGTGTATTTTGTCTCATAAAATGGTGAAATGCAAAATGCCTTCATGAACTATATATTCGGTTACAATTTCCCCCCTAAATTGTTTTTAAAGGCACTTCGCTCCCTCCCTCTCCCCCCTCTTGATATATTTGGACAAATCTATCCCTTCTATCTTAAGCATTCTTGCTTTTCGTTAAAAAATTATAATGTCTTCTGCTACATGATTCTTTGTGCTAACAAATAATATTAAAACCCTTGATTCAAGCAAAATTGATCCTAGAGTAGTTCCTGTCCATTTTGTGATAGAATACTCAAATATCAGAGAATTGGACCACTATCTGGATCATTTGTTGACAATTAAAGAAAAATTGACCATAGTTGGACAGGGGTCTAAAAAATCCTGTCAAAATTATTTGTGTTAAGCAGTGATTAGAGAAAAAGATTCCGTCAATAATTGAGCCATAAATCAAGAAGGCCAAGAAATTCAAGTAGGGGAGGAAAAAATTATTTGTGAAGGTACGTACATTATTTTTTGAGTTGCCATGACAAACAAGGAATTTATTAATGGTAAAAGCTTAAATTTTGTACACGTACTCTTAGTACTGATGAAAAAAGATCTGAATGAGTAGCAAAAATGGAATACTATCTCAAAAGGTGTGATTTGGATAATATTTTTGAAATAAATTTTAGTAGTAGTTTGTCAAAAGAGGTTAAGAAAAAGAAGGTAAAGTTGCTTTTCAAAATTATAAAAAAAATCTATAATTGGCGAATTTTATAAAATACTCTTTTTTAGTTCTCAATCACCTCGATTGTTTTGGTTGACTATTTTCTATACTTTAACAAATTTTTTGTATGAATCTAATCACATGTTAAAACTTGATTTGGAATGGCAGGTCAACCATTGACTTATTTGGCTACCTTTTGATACTTAAGAAAAACCTGTAATATGAGGTGTGAGATCATTGCAAAATGAGCAGAATTTACAGTGATCGTGATGAATAAGGTAATAGTAACTAAGCAATTTTATTTCATTTTCCTTTTTTCTCTTCAAGATAACAATTTCAACACGCCCCGTACTAATTGATAAGACCCCTAATGCCCCATCATGTGATCGGTCGGGTTCAATGTTTTGTTAAAGTTAAGTGTCCTTCTTGTCCTTCCAGAAGAGAATCTAGACTTCTCTAGGCTGATGGTTACACCACAAACCAGTGTAAAAAAGGCAATTGGAGGCGTTGTGGCCTGTCTGTGAACAGTGACTACAACGACGAGGCGCATCGGGACATCGACGATCCATTTGGTTATGTATTCTTGCAATGGCCTTAGGACCAGGTCTCTTTTGTTTAATTCTTCCTACATCATCGCAACTCTGAAGAGATCCAATAAGCTGAATCCGGTAGAGGTTGAAACTGTCCTTGAAGCGAAGATTGTCATGCTGAAAATGTGTGCACATGACCTACCAAATGGTACGGATTTGTACCCGACCTATAACAAGCTGCAAATACGTGCGAGCATGGAAATCTAAGTTTAGCCCACTTGCCACATGTACATGTGTCATTCCCAAACTTAATAATCTGCGCATTGCCACCCTTTCCATTATCGCGTCGACCAGTAGTAACGCAATAAATTCCGCCTCTATGATCATATACTTGGATTGAGTGTGTCCTTGCTTTTAGTTCATTTTCCAAAAATGGCTTTCATATTTCTTTCGGAAAAGCATACATGGTGTTGAAGGCCAATTTCCACTTCGACGTAAAGACTTCAACAATTTGATTAAAAGTGAACTGTACGCATGCTGTTATTTGTAATAATCGAGCATTGCGCAATACATTGTTGAAGCACTCAGCTACGTTCGTTGATGTGTGGTCCCACCGATATCCCCCATCCTTGCATAATGTCTATTGTTCCGGTTTTACAGAACCACCATTCAACCATTTATACGCCTCTTCATTTAACAACCATATTTGTTCCATAAATGCCTCATATTTTTTGGCTTGATTTGCTGCACCGGCAGCCCACATAAGATCCTTCAATCTGGACAATGATAATTAATCGATGATTAAACTCATATTTAGTAGGTATTCATGCTATGTATTCCGAATGTAATATTCAAAAATATATATACCTTTGATTTCGAAAATTTTGGGACCTCTGCACGTGTATTAAATAGTATCGGTGCACGGCCAACGGTTCTTTCCACTCTGGTAAAGTATTCATAGCATGTGTTATGCCCTTGTGCCTATCCGAAATAACGCAAATATTTTCCACCTCACGGCACACATGACGTCGCAAATGCGACATGAACCATGTCCAACTCCGATTTGTCTCTTCGTCTACAAGTGCGAATGCAAGTGGCCACTGCCGATTGGAGGCATCAAAACCAACAGCAACCAATAATTTTGCTTTGTATGTACCCTTCATAAATGTGCCGTCAACACAAATAACTAGCTTAAGGTGTCGAAATGACTCGATTACCGGCCCAAATGCCCAAAACACGTAATGAAAGATGATGCATCCAGTACTACTTTGCGGATGGTGCTTCCACTCAACAACTGTTCCAGGATTGGCTTTAACCAATTCCTGCATGTACGTAGGGAGCGCAGCTATAGAAGTTGGCCAATCACCATACACAATATCAATCGCACGTCGCCTAGCATACCATGCTTTTTTGTACGAAACATCCGTATCAAAAGCACGTTTAATGCTCGTTTGTATTTCTTTGATGGCATATAACGGACCATTCTGGACGTAATGTATTATGTACTCGGCTATGAGTTCCAAACTCAACTGTCGGTGGTCATTGGAATTCGAAACTCGCACACACGTGTGTTCCTTCACAAATGTTACAATTTTCCATATGTTATGTGTGCATCTTAGAGTGGCTCTTAGCTGCCAATTGCATGGAAGCGAAGCACTATGGGACTTGCAGCGGACATACCAAGTCATCGGTTTACTTTCTCGCACTTTGAACTCCTTGTTGTGCTTGATCGACCAAAGTTTGACAGCTCTCTACACGTCGTTCTTTGTTTCAAAAACCATTCCCAATCTAAACTCCTTTGTCCACTCATTCCACACATTGCACTCCGCCGAAACTCCTTTCTTAAATGGATCAAAATTCAGTGAGGCTTGCACACCTTCAAGATCATTTAGTTGGGCTGGTATATGATATGAGGTCGATGGACCGACAGCCGATTGAACCGGCTGATTGTCAGATTCTTCATCTATTTGATCCTGCTTATCATCGTCCGAATCATCACCGTCTGGTTCTGGTTCCGTGTCTTGATCAACATTAACTCCTTCACTCTCTGGTATGGTCGATAGAATTGTCGGATTGAAAATTTCCGTTTGAGGCAACTCATCAAAAGAACGATTTATCATCCTTGCACTTTTAGTTACCTCAGTACAAAACATACTGTTTGACTCATTTTCAAAATCATTCTCGAGTAATGATGTTTGTCCACCCTCATGGTCACTTTGAATATGATAGGTTCGTGGCTCTACTTCTGCATATATCTCACATGCCGTGTGTGGTGACATCGACTTCATCAACCTATATAGTAAAAGCATGAAAGGATTCGGTGGTTGTGCTGATGTGGCTGCATTTCATTCGCTGGAGGGTCGTTGTCCATCACGTGGGGCTCGCGTGTTTTTGCTGGGAGAAGAATTCGGATTCTTGCTTTTGTCCGCTGGGAGGAGAAGTGCAATTCCTGTTTTTTGTCCGAGAGACGAAAATGAAGACCAGCTGACCTGCTGAGCTGAATGTGGCTCAATGTGCTGACCTGCTGAGACGAAAGTGATGGGCTCAATGTGGGTTTCCATGGTTTTACGATTTTGCCCTTTTTTTTAAAAAAACAGATGCACCGTTGTTTGTTGCTGAGCTCAACCTATTATCCACTAGATCCAATCTAAGACGTGCAGTAGCAGAGAAAATCACATCAATTGAAGGTTGGTTAGTGGCTCGAGGATTTCTACCATCAAATTCTTATCTTCTTCCTCCCCTGATTTCTGTACGATTGCGAATAGGGCTTGGTAAACACTCTCCATACCTGTCACTTACTTTCTTCTCTTATCAAACTCACCGACGGACCAACAATTCTTCCATACCTCTCCGATTTTTTCTGTATTGTTTTCTCTAAAAATTAAGGTCAACAACAGCCACAGATGACCTTCAATTTTCTAGCTTTTGTTTCTGATCTTTTTAGATGAGATGAGCTACAAATAACTTGTAGATTTACTCAACTTTTCTCTGTTCTTCCGATGGTCTTTATTTGCTTAAAAATTAATAAAGCTTGGTTTAATATCTCTGTTAGTCAATTATTTTCTTAGCGATAAGAACTTTGATCTTCTAATCTTTATATCTTAAGATTTTTTATTTTATTTTATGTCTCTTATGTTTTATTTATCCGATTTCCTAAATTTTATAGTATTATCTTTGCAGGAAAAAGATGAAAACTTTTATGGGATGCAAATGCAAGTACTTGTGGATATATTCCATCCTTTTCTGTCCTCCAAAGGTCTGTTCTGCTTTATTTATCTATTGATTTATTTGTTTATTTATTTTTTGCCGATAAAAACTTTGTCCTTTTAATTTCGGTCTGTACTCTCAAATCACTTGAAGTTTTTATTTTGTCTTTTATTTTATTGGATTATACTATTATTTTTATAGAGAGGAAGATGAATTTATTAGGTTTTAGCTAAAAAATAGGCATGAACATCAATGTTTTCCTCTGTAAACATTTTTTCTGGTGCTGTTTGACAGAAAGTATGAGTTATAGTGGTTTCTTAAAGCATTCTAGAAGCATTTAATCCCTAAAACACCTATGCACTCTAGAGCCCCTGTTGTAGAAACACTGATTGCTTCTTTTCTTGGCGCACATTCATTTGTGATTTTTCCCGTCTTTTTACTTCGTTTATACTTTCATATTACAATTTGCATTTTTACAGAGTGAGGAAGAAAAGGAAGAACAACCTCTGTGGTAAGAAACTTTTTAGCCAACAAGTTTTTTGCTCTGGTTTGTTTCCCTTTTCAATTTGTGACCTTCCCTCTTTCCCTCTATGACAGAAATTTGTGGAGGATGGCAAAAAATTGTGGTAAAACTCCTGCTCCTATTTTTTTCATGGTACTTTGGGCCTTTTGTTTTTAGATTTTAATATTCTTCTCTTAAATACTAGCTTTGAGTGAATCCTTTTACCTATCAAAATGAAATCTGCCAAAATTATATCAAGTGCATCTGTTAAATCAGAAGCTAAATGATAAATAACATTAACTAATATGGAACAAAAGGATCGAGGTTAAGACTTTTCACTTTCACTTTTACAGAGAAGTTTAAAGATTTTCCAAAGAAACCTCTAAGCTGGTTCAGGAATCATTTTTTGCTCAGTTAAAAGTTGAATCCTTTTGTTCTTTTCTTGTTTTTTCACTGAATATGGGACCTGGTCTTCATGCAATTTCTGTCTCTGCATCTTTTAGGACAAGTCAATATTTCTAAAGTAGTATATGTTTGAGAGTAAGACTAGAGAGATGATTGTCTACACAACCGAAGGTACTTTGCCATTGCAATTTCTCAGGGATAAATTTTGCCCCATCAGATTTTTATCTCTGACCTTTTCTTTCTTCTTTTTTCTTTTTCTGGTATCCACTACAGGAAGAAGCAATCTTTGTTTGTGGTCCAAGAATAAACAAATGGTGAAGATAGCCTTTAAGTAGGTGTTTGTTCACCTTTTATTGTTATTTTTCCTTTTTTGGGTTTTAATGATAGTATAAGTTCTAATTAATTGAGGTTCTGTTTAATTGATAGGTGAGAATACCTTAAACTAGGTGACTTGGTTGAGCAGATATTTTGCACATCCGTATTTGGAATTCCATAGCATGTCAGCTTCCTTATTTGGCAATCTAGATAGACTATTTTGTAGTGTGAAAATGTCATCTTCTTTTGATGGGCTTTTGAATAACGAATCATTAGTTTCTTTTCATTGATTAATTTTATAGATTGATTACACTTATGTTGTTAGAGTAAGTTTTACTTGGTAATAAATTTGTATATTTCATCTTTAACCTTTTGGGTTCATTTCTTGAACTCCAATATTTATAGGTATAAACTTGTTGAAAAAAGGATGAGAGGCATTGGCAGTGTGAGGAGGGACGTAAAAGAAAAGAAGAAAGGTGTGCGAAAAAGTGCAAGTTGAAATACTGATACTGAAATCATTATGGTCATTACTGTAATGATTAAAATGTTAAGAAAAAGCTAGAGATTGAGTTTCAAGAAAAGACCCTTGGGTTACTTGGCGCTAAGATAGGCATTTGTCATTTAAGTTTCCTATTCTTTGGGAAATTCACTATTATTTGACCATTTGTGTTTGGTTGACTGTATCATTGATAGCTATTTAATGTACCTTGTCTTTACTCCTCGCAGCTAAAATGGATTGATGAGGATTTCCTGAGCTATGACTTTGAGTTCAACATTTTGTTGACTTGCAAAATTTGTTAAGAGAATTTTCTTCATTTTCCTTGGAATATGTTTCTGCTGTTCTATGTGCAGGTTATTAGTCAAGATATGGAGATTAAAGGACCTCATTTAAAACATCTGACACTTCTTTAGGCTTTGTTGTTCTAAGCCCAATCAGATATCTTTATACTTACTGTTATTTGATTGTGTGGCTTGAGTTCAAATTAAGTAAATTATTTGAGAGAATGCTTAATGATTTGTTTGGCTTGTTTTGCTTAGCAATGAGTCAAAGCCCAAAGAGTGGAAGAACTCTTACCGTTTCCCTTGCATTATCATGATTGAAGTGTCATGCACCCCTAGAATCAAGATTGGAATTATTTCTATGTCTGTCTTGCATGGATCTACAGTGATTATTTATTAGCCTCATTTTTGGATACATATTATTGTAGACATTATGTACCTTTTACATTTTAAATAAGAGGTTTCGTTTGTAAAGATAGTGACCAACTTTTGTTTCAATGCATCATATTGTGTATATTGGATCTATTATGTACTTCCTAATTTTGTCCAGTTACGGTGGGTTGTATTCTTAATGACACTGAATTGCAATTTTTACTTACCTCTTTAATTCAATAATTCTTTTTACTAATTATATGCCTCCTAATTGTATGGCCTCAAATAATTCAACATCTGTCATCACAACAATTTGCAAGTTAGATGGCCAGGATTGGGCAATTTGCATGCTTTCACCGTTTTCCTGCTACCTTTTTCCGCATAATCAGTAATTAATTTCATATAAATGGCCTGTTATGGCATGAAACTCAAGTGCGCCAAGAATTCCACCTTTCTATTTATCAACTGGTTATTTCATTCTCCCAACAATAAACTTCGGTTAGGAAACGTTTCCTTTGACTGTGAAGATAGATTGTTGCACGGAGGATCCTTTTTCAGAAATATGAACCTCCTTCATTCTCAGTGTACACCTACTTTCGTACCATGTATCACACTTCCATTCTCCTGACCAGAGTTGTTGCGTTAGTTGTTCCGATATTTTCATGTTACATGCAAAGAATTGGATAAACAACATAGAAACGATTGAACAACATCAAAATTAATGCTCACTGTAAATTTAAAAACACCACCGATAATCAATCCTTTGCAGAATAATAGAAAAAATTAATAGTGTTTACTTATTGTTTAATATTTTTGAATCTCCCATTTATTTTTCCCAACACTTCATCCCATCTCTACATGAAACAAAATCATACTGATGAGCTTCAATTTTATTCGCCTCAATTATTTTCTTTTCGATCTTTTTCTCGACACCATGTTAGATGCAAACCTTTATTTACTCGCATTTTCTTACAACATTGCTTATTTAAAAGCTTAATCATTTTATAACCAAATAACTTAAATGCAATGCATACGATTTATGATATCTCTACTTGAAAATCTGGGCATTTTCTGGGCAACATGAAATTAACACCGCGCAACGCGCGGTGATCCCCTCCTAGTATGATATAGTGTATCAATGTCATCTTCGCGTTCCAATTGCACTCCAGCAAATATGTCTTGGCCAACAGCATTTCTAAACTATAGATTCAACTTGCAAATATTCCGATCTAATTGCATGTAGGTGTACACTCTATCCACCAATTCATCATAACTTATTCGATGTTTCACTAAAATAGCTTTTTTACACCGTGGAGGTTCATATGCGAATGATCCTCCGGTCTCGTTTTTTCTGCCTCCCCAATAAAATTGAAACACCAATGCAAGATCCATTGACATTTTTTCCTAATCTTACGAATATTTTTATGTCAACTTATTTCTTTTAACAACTTATCATAATTACAAATATTAATGCAATAAACGTTTTCATTGGTAATAGCACCACTAATAAAATAATCATCAATATCAAATAAATAAATAAAAATAAATTTATCAAACAAATAGTATTATTTACATTATTAGAGTAATGATTTTCTTTAATTAGTCATAGGTATTATTAGACTATGCTTGTAGTACTGTAACTTATATTTTTAAAACTATTAGTATTACTTATTGTTTATTATTCATATTAATATTACTAAACTATAGATTAATAGTACTGGTATTATTAATGTATCAATTAATATCTCACTATCTCATATTGTATTATTGTTATTTTTACTATACAATTTTAAACACTCAGTATTTACTATTTATTATTTATTACTTACTATTTATTATTAACTATTAACTATTTATCATTTACCATTTATTATTTACCGTTTACTATTTACTATTTTTCCTTTACTATTTACCATTTACCATTTACATTATCAGTTACTTTTTACTTTTTACTATTTATCATTTACTATTTACTACTTACCACTTATTATTTACAATTTATTATTTATTATTTACTATTTACTATTTAACATTTATCATTTATCTTTTATCACTTACTATTTACTATTTACTATTTAACATCTACCATTATTTACTTTTTATTCATCATTCGCCTAAACGACTACTGCATTGATAAAATTAATTCTAAAATCCGTCAATAAATAATCTTTAAAAAACTTCTTTAGTAACCATAAAAGGCTAACCTTATCATTTGACTGTTAAATAATCTTAAATGTAAATATTAATTCACCTGCCAACGATTATTAAATGTTAAAAACTATCACCTTTTATTCATCTGACCTTTAATATCAATAAATAATCATTTAATAATATATCTTACTATTAATATTCATTATTAATTCACCTAAAAGACTTGTAGGCAAACCATAAATAAATCATAAATAAAAGACTACTGCAAACCATAAATAAAAGACTACTGCAAACTATAAATAGATATCTCATTCCAAAATTAAATAAATGTAAAGTAGCATAATATTTAGAACTTAACATAACTGCAAATATAATACAAATATTATTAACAAAATTATTAAATAAACTAACCTGGTCAGTGATATGTTGTTTCTTTACAAAATTTCTTTCCGATCCACCCCTCAAATTGCAACGTTGCTTTCCTGAATCATCGTCTTAATCGATCAGCTATTCTAAAAAATTTAGGAGAAATATAAGATGAGGACCACCAGAAAGGGAAAGCTAAGAAAAATTTGTGAAAACGATGAAGAAGAAGATGAGGACCACACCAGAAAAAGAAAGAAAGCGAAGGAAGTATGTTTTCTCAAGTGAATATATAGAGAAGAGAGAAATGTTGAGGTTGTCCGTAAAGACGGGGCAGAATAGTTATTGTTGGCAAACAAATAATTGTAGTACTGCATTGACTACAAATTGTTTTTGACTAAATACTTAACTTTGATTAGTTTAGTTTAAAAAAAAAATTAGTGCATGACCGTTGGCCTTTTTTATTCAATGACAACCATTGGATATGTTGGGTTGGTGGGGTTGACGGTGGAAAAACTGTCATCGCAATCAAGATTTGCGGTTTTATTTTAAAAATATTATTTTTCAATTAAATTAAGCCATCTCACTTTAAAGAAAATATTTTGATCGACAGCGTCCGTTGATCACAATGTGGGAAAAAAAATTCTACTCGACGCCGCAAATCAAATTTGGGGCGTCAATAAAAAAAAATTTTTTACGCCGCAAATCAAGTAGCAAATACGAAAAAAATTATTTAGTGCCTCCTCTCCGCATGAGGCAAATAATTTGGCCTCAAACAAAAAAGTGAAAAAGTAGTCTGACATATGGAGAAAAAGTCAAAAAGTACTACTCTCTCCGGTCCACAAATAATTTTGGTCTCAAGCAATAAAATTCAAAAAGTCATCTGACATCTCAACAAAAGTCAAAAGTTGCTTCTGACATCCTGTAAAATCATGGTCAGGCTTTAAGGCCAATGAGCGGCGAAGCGTTGTTATTTAAAAAAAAAAAACCGAACCAAAAAATGAAACCAAAATAAATGAAAATTAAAACTCTTTTTCTAGTCGCCTCCACTCCTAATTGCAGCGACCCCTTAACCAGCAAAATTCCCCACACAACCCCAATTTTGTGAACTTTTTCAAAATCGACAATATACTAAGAAATTCGCCTAAGATCAACAGTTATTCTTCTTATTCTCTTTGTTTAATTTATGATAAGAAAATATCGTTTCATGTTAAAAACTCTTATACCTAAAAAAAAAGCTCAAATATATATATATATATATATATATATATATATATATGTTTACGCACGCGCGGGGAGACAGCGGTAGAGTGGGTCCAAAATGGCAACAGTTTTTTAATACTACTTTAAATATACATGCACAAATATGAAAACAATCCAGTTTGTCATCATCCAATCTACTTGAATTTCTAAACAGACGGTATGCGGAACACAGCCCTTGGAGAGTACAATTATCTCACTTCGCTTATAGAACGACACATTTTCTTGTATGACTTTCCCATCTAACAAATAGAGCCGAATAGATTGACAATGACCACAATGACCATTTGCCTGCTTTAATAAGTTTAGTGTTTTTTATGAAACTATTTTTCTTTCATCAATGGATATTAAAATTAAGGGTTAATTATATTTACCTCCCTGAGGTATGGCCAAACTACAAACTAAACCCTGAGACCAAACTACTGAAGAACCCTTCGATTACACAAAAGCTTAACAAACGTTGACTGCTTGATATTAAACGAAAAAGTCAGTGAATGTCCTAAACTGCTCACAAGCTTATTCCCATTTACGTCTTTAACTCTTCTCTTCCTCAGGGATTGAAACCAACAGAGTTGCAAAATTGTTAGTTGCACAATACTTCGTTGTTCGTGTAGAGTGGATTTAAATGGGCACACACTCACTAGCTGCTTATCAAAAATACTCCTTGCTGCTTCTTCTTCTATTAAAACACTACTATTTCTTCACAAATTGTCAGCCTTAGATTCAATCAAAAGTAGGAAAAATAAAGAAAAATAAAAAACACGAATTGCAATACCTATCAAAATATAGATCTTGCAATTTAACTACCAAAACCAAATCTTTAGTTCAAATGATTGTCCTCTTGACGTGAGATTTGAATGATGAACCCTGTTTATGAGGTAGTGAAGAAGAGATTCTGTGCATTGCTCATGAGTCGTGGCTAAGATGGGATATGGTTTTGCTTGTGATTTTTGTGGTATCAAATTTTGCTGACTTCTTGTTTCTATTTTGTCAGCTTTGCTTCTCTTGAATGTGACAAAGAATTGGGTTGCCACGATTTGGTTTCGTATACGGCAATTATATGTCTATTTTTTGTGGGTTTTTAAGGGAGAGGATAGAAAACGTAGGTTATGGTGTTAAAAAGGGGGAGGGTTGGGTTGGGTGGTACGGGGGAGGGAGTGTAAGTGAGAGGTCCCGGGTTCGAGTCCTCTTGCTTATACTAAAAAAAAAAAAAAAAGGTTATGGTGTTAAAAGATGAATGAATTTGCAATAGTTTGAAATTGGGAGTGTGTTAGAGATGAGTGATAACTTGAAGATAAGAACAGGAGCAATTAAGGTTTCGAGGAGTACGATGAGATCTATGGACGGCAGGAAATCTTTTTCTTTGTTAATTTTTTTATTCTTTCCCGTATCTAATAACGAGTTTACTTGTTTTTTATGCAATGAGTTTCAAGTCAGACTAATTTTTCTTTGTATGTTAAGTTTCTGATTAATTTTTCTTTTGTATTTGAACTTCCTTTTTATTATTTTCTGCAATTTCCATAGTTATAATATTTTCATTTATCTATCAATTTTTAAAGTTTAGATATTGGGATAAAGATTTATTTTGTTCAATTATCTTTATGTTTTCTCCATTAAACTCTCTCAATTTTTATTTTTGCAACTTTTTCTTTTTTTTTTGTGTGAATTTTATTTATTGTTGTCAGTAGAGGGTAAATTTGTCATTTTATTTGTTCTATTTATTGGCTCTTGATAGTATTATTGACAAGGGAGGCAAATGTAATTTAGTTAAACCTCAAGATTTGGTTCATAGTTTGGTCAAACCTTAACGGAGACAAATGTAATTAACCCCAAAATTAACCCACAAGGCCCTTTAGCCCATTTTAATAACTTAATTTATATTTGACTAGACTATTTTACTTCGATCAAAAGAAAGTTTGAAGAGTCCAGCGATGCACATGCCATTGTTAGCCCTAAATAAATAAGGGATAATTTTAGAAGCCTCCTCTGAGATTTTCAATAATTTCACTCGGCCCCCTTGAAATTTACATAATTACAGAAACCTCCCTTGATGTAATAAAAAGACAACAATGCCCTTCATTAATTGTCAACTCATTGAAAAACTCTATCAAATATTAAAGCTCTCTCATCTATTATCAATCAATAATTCAAACTATAGTTTTTCTCATTTAACTATCTATCCTCTTTCTCCTACATCCATTTTCCTTTTAAAATCATTTATTTATTATTATCAACTAAATGTGTACTGTTGCCACTAATAAAATCATTATATACACCAAACCACCAATATGTACATATCTTGGTATATATTTATATCTTACCATGAAAACAAAATGTTCTTGGTATATATTTATAACAGCATTGTGTTTCTATTGTTGATTTATAATTATTAATGTTATTCCTATATAGAGAATTTGATTGATTTTGAACTCTGTGCCAATGGAATATATTGGATATTGATATTAGTAGTAATGGTTTAGATTATTTTGTATTAAAAAAGTGGCAGCCATGGGATTAAAATTTAGGGATATTAATGAATATTTTTGTGTATTAAGTAAAATATTATATTGATATGAGATTATAGGAAAACTTTTGAGTATCTGATGTAGTGTTTATAGTTGGTACAATGGTCAACATAAAAAATTTTTAGATAAAAGAGGAACATTAGAACAAAGCTAAGTGTTTATTTAATGGTGATTTGGATGTTGATGGATAGGTATTAGTGATAGCAAGTAAAGATAAATGAAATAGAGATTGTGAACCATTTTTTTCCTTTACATTTTTTTTGTGAATTATAACTCAAGGGCATTATAGGAATTTTGAGAAAAAGTATAGCCTTTTGCGCCTAAAATGTTACTTAAATAGTGAAAATAGGTAAGGTAGGTGTAATTTTTAGAACTTGAGGGGAGCTTTCTGCAATTGTACAAAACTGAGGGGAGGTATGTGAAATTAACCCAATAAATAATTAAACCATGAGAACTTTTGTTTAATACAAAATAACACAAAGTTTACCCTTACAAATCCAGCCAAAATGTATTCCGAATCATTCAAGTCTTAATATAATTTGTTTGACCAGATAGCAAAGTGCAACAGATCTACATCGCACGAAGTGCCTTTTTTTGGGCCTATTGCAGTGTAAATGAAAAGGTCTTTTTTTTTAATAATTTTTTGTGTGAAATAGCAGCAATTTCAGGCACTAGAGATATGTGAATGCATAAGAAGTTAGAGCTCCACAAAAAATATATAAGTAAAAGAATAAAAAACAAAAAGATTTGTACTTCAATTCTACAAGTGAGACTCTAAGTCTAATTAAGAAAAAAAGCATAAAGGCAGAGCTCGAGAGTCAAATTAAAACTTTACAATTACTTGATTGATGACCCTATTGATTAATTCCAATGTTCAAGAAACCAAAAGGAGGTATGGAACTCAAGAGCATTAAGAAATAAGGATCGAGGGCACGGTACTTCGTTCGCAATTGTATGACCATATTTGTACAATCATTTGACCTGCAAAAATGCCATAACAAAACGATGGGTGAAGTAGGAAAGATTTTCTTAGGATCTGTTTGGATGAGGGATTTGAGTGGATTTGGATTTGAAATCCACCTATCAATTGGAGAAATTTCAAAGCTCAAAATTATATAGTGGAGAGAATGACATAAAATATGCATCCGTAATTTATCTCAAGGAGGAAGCATGTTTGGCCAAAAGACTCATTGGCTTGGTTTAAATTGACAATACCGTAGAATAAATAGTCCTAATGTTTCAGGTTATATGACCATATAATTCAATTTAGGGTAAAATATACTTTACTCCTGTGGTTTAACACTTTTCCACATAAACTCTTTGAGGATTGTAAAGCTATATAACCCTTTCATAATTTGGATTAAAGTGTCAAAATAACAGAATTTGCATTCTATGACGGAGTCAATTAAAATATAAAAAATACTCCTTTGTAAACTTGAAATTATTAATTACCAATAGGGGGTTATGTTATATTTTGAAAATTATAACGGGATTATATGGTAAGTACTAAATTATAAGGGAGTTATGTGATAAAATTCAAAACTATTGGACGTTTATATATTTTAATTATTTCAACTATTTTAGTTTTTAAACAGGCGTATTTTCTATATTTTATTGGATTTCGTTACAAATGATTATTTCAGTCAATTTGACACTTCGTTCAAACTATAAAGGGATTAAATATAACTTTTAAAATTTTAGAAAAATCATTTGAAAAATTATTAAATCACATGGGAGTAAAGCGTATTTTATCCTTAAAAGTTGTTAAAGATGACAAGACAAATCAGGTACGATGTTATCTAAGAGTGCATCGCAAAGTTTATGAACCACGAGCCTTTCATCCCGTATCTCATTCGGAATTGTGTTCTTTGGGGTCATGCAACCGAAATTATTGCCACCTACCCGTAATCATCGAGTGAAGTTATTACCACCAACATCCCTTTCATTCAGCCATCTTATCCCAAAATCTTATCCGGAACGTGTTTTTTGTGAATGTCTACTGAGATAATCCACATCGGATATCGGAAGAAGAAAGAAATGAAATATAAGTTTCGGTCCTTTGAATTATTAATAATTTTGAATTAACACAAAGTTTCAATTCAAAAAGTTATTGGGCCAATCTAGTAAATTTGAAGGTATTAAAACAAATCTCATGTGATCTCTGTGCTGGATTCTCTAAAATCTGCGTGCGACTAAGTGGATAGTTATGACCAAATTTTGCAAGGACGTAAAATTTTTAAGGGGAAGGATTGAATGAGATGTCTCATATTTAAAATAGGAAGAAGAACTAAATCAAATATAAGTTCGACCCCATCAAATTACTAATAAATTTGGATTAATCATTTTGAACACATAATTTTAGCTCAAAAAGTTAATGGGTCACACCAGTGAATCCAAGGGGTTACATCTACCGTTTCATTCAGCACTATATATATATGCATGTGTGCAAAAGTTTACGCACTCAGGATCTCACACCAAATGGCTTTTAAGCATTCTTTCTTCGTTGTTCTTGTGCTCCTTGCATCTAGTTAGTCTCTCATACTTATTTTGTTTTATCATTTGTATACAGTCATAATTAACACAATAGTCTCTCTCTCTCTCTCTCTCTCTCTAAGCATATTTCATATAGTATTCAAATTATTCGTATCATCTAATATGAAAGGAAGGAAATAGTATCATGAGAGAGCAAAAAAATTATTGCAAGGACATTTTTTTGGGGGGAGGGGTGGCACAAAAAGTGCCTATTAGAGAAGTTTAGGGGGGTAAAATGCAACTAAGGTGAAAGTTCATGGAGATTTAATGCATTTAATCTAATTGAATTGTTAGTTTGTCTTTAAATTCAATTAGAGTATTAATTACTAGTAGAACCCAATTACCATCCATTACTAGCTAATTTCCTACTAAGATTTTTTTTTTTTTAAATTTCTTTTGTAGGTGTGGTGCTGGGGCAAGATGAAGCTGGGGAAGCTACAGAAACCACCAATGCTGTCAAAACTGCATCAAGAAAAATGCTGCCAATTGGAGGACAGATTATAAAAATGCTTGGCGTTGGAGTTCATGATGGTCAGGAAGGGGAATGTTCACCCGCCGGGAAACCCTGCAGACCAGTGCGCTGTTGTGATTCCTGTCTGTGCATCGTCGATTACCCTACGCATGTGGGTACCTGTCGTGGTAACTGCTGAATCAAGCTAAAGCTCCAAGCTAAAATGCTGCTGGCATCTAAGGGAACAATTAGCAAATTGTTCTCGCCGTTACATAAATAAATGGAAGCATGGTTCTAGTGTAGTATGTTATCTCCAGCTGTTGAATAAAATATTGTAAATGGATTTTCAGTCGGAAATCCATTTCTTTTGTGTATGAACTTCCTTTTTATTATTTTCTGCAATTTCCATTCTTATGTTTTCTTTTATCTATCAATTTTTAAAGTTTAGGCGTTGGGATAAAGATTTATTTTGTTCAATTATCTTTCTGTTCTCTCTATTAAACTCTGTCGATTTTTATTTTTGCAACTTTTTCTTTTTTTTGTGAATTTTATTTATTGTTGTGAGTAGAGGGTAAATTTATCAGTTTATTTGTTCTATTTATTGGCTCTTGACAGTATTATTGACAAGGGAGGAACATGCCGTTGTTAGCTCCAAATAAATAATTAACCATGAGAACTTTTGTTTAATACAAAATAAACACAGAGTTTACCCTTACAAATCCAGCCAAAATGCATTCCGAATCATTCATGTCTTAACATAATTTGTTTGATGAGATAGCAAAGTGCAACTGATCTACATAGGATGAAGTGTCTTTTTTTTTTTTTTTTTTTCGGAGAGACTGGCTTTTGGGCCTATTGCCGTGTAAACGGAAATGTCTTTTTTTTTTCCAATAATTTTTTGTGTGAAATAGCAGCAATTTCAGGAACTAGAGACATGTGAATGCATAGGAAGTTAGAGCTCCACAAAAAATATATAAGTAAAAGAATAAAAGACAAAAAGATTTGTACTTCAATTCTTCAACTGAGACTCTAAGTCTAATTAAGAAAAAAAAAAGCATAAAGGAAGAGTTCAAGAGTCAAATTAAAACTTTACAATTACTTGATTGATGACCCTATTGATTAATTCCAATGTTCAAGAAACTAAAAGGAGGTATGGAACTCAAGAGCATTAAGAAATCAGGATCAAGGGCATGGTACTTCGTTTGCAATTGCATGACCATATTTGTAAAATCATTTGAACTGCAAAAATGCCATAACAAAACGATGGGTGAAGTAGGAAAGATTTATATCTGTTGTTGTAATCTCTCACTATGAGAGCCTCTTTCTCTCTATTCTAGAGAGAGAAATCTCCCTCCTATGGGAGTCGTGCTTTTCTCTAACAAATTTTCAAAAAATCTCGAATCCCAAAATAACAGATCCTATTCATCAAATTTTCTTTCCTATTTTAGCATTCATTCCAAATTAGTAGTTTGAGCTAAGTACATGAATCTACCTTAGATTAGCCTAAACATTTACAGTTGATAGCCATATAATTCATCAATAAGTTCGCGGGAGGTGTTGCTTTGTGATTGCTGTTGAGCTTTCTTTCTATTCTTTTGTTGTTTTGCTTCTTCTGTTTTGTCTGGTACTTTTCAGGTTGCTCAGCTAGATCGTTGATCTAGGGGCTTAGCAGTGTATTCAAGGAGACGATGCTTGGGAAGCTGGAAAACGGTGATGATTTCTGGAGCTGAACTGGTTCTGCAACAATTTGGAACTGGCTGCAGCTTAGACCGTGGGATCTTCGAAAATGGAACACATAGAAGAGATAATGAGGAAATTCACCTTATCTGAGAATGAGAGCGAGGGAGTTTGTCTAGGGAATGAGGATTTGGAAAAAGGTGTAAATGAGTGCAGATTGAGTCTAATAGGGAGAGTGTGGGGGGAAAAAATAGCTAACAAAACTGGTATGAGGAGTTTTGCTACTAATGTGTGGCCTCAGTTGAGAAACGTAAAAATTACAGAGGTCAAGGTCAATATGTTTCAATTTGTTTTTGAGTCTAAAAAGGATATTGAGTTGGTGCTTAGCAAAAGACCTTGGATATATGATGGCTAGCCTCTGGTTTTACTGGAATGGCAGGCAGATTTAGAGGAGAAGGAGCAGGCGTTTAGTAGGACTTTAGTGTGGGTTCAAATTTGGAATTTACCTCTCCACTGGGTTACTAAGGAGGATGGGCGTAAAATAGGTGGAATATTTGCAGGGGTTAGAGAGGTCATTATTCCTCAGGGAGGAGGCAAGGAAGGTAAGCATCTCAAAATCTTAGCTGAAGTGAATCTTAAAGAGCCTCTGCCTAGAGGTACTATGGTGAAAAGTAATGAAGGAACCAGATGGATTGAGTTTAGGTATGAGAAATGCCCTGATTTTTGCTTCAACTGTGGACTGATAGGACATAATGAGAGAATCTGCAATAGGAAAGGGGTAAACGTGGATAGGTGACAGGTGCCGAACCTGTGCAATAATAAATACCTACTCAAGAAAATTACAAAATTTGTATATAGCGGTGAGTAGGGTCGAATCCACAGGGACTGGAAATAATTCGTTTCTTCTCAAATTCAGAGTATGGGGAGTTTTTGATGGGAGGAAAATAAAAAATGAAATAAAACAAACAAAATTCAAAACTAACTCACAAAGCACAATTTACTAAATATAGCAATTAACAAAAGTTCTACCCAAAGGATCAACTACTCAGGTACGGTCCAATTAAATGATCATCGATGCAAAGATATTTCATCCATTCATCACTAGGTTGGTTATAGTTATCAACAAGCTCTGACAACCAGTTCTTCCTTACTTTTTCGACAGTCAAGGTACGACCATTGACTGCTTCTCTAACCAGATAACAACCCTAGGTACGACTGTAGGAATTTAATTACCCAATTGCATTGAAGCTCGAAGAACCCAACCCTAACCAATAAACACGCTAAGAGAGTTTATTTAAACTAGATCTTACGCTTCCCCATCATAAAGCTAATTATGGTGGTTGCCACGAGGTGTTAACTAAATGAACAATTACGGATTCTATTTAATTAACGTGGCAGTAGGCTATTAAATTAAATCAAATACCCGGCCGTTGATATTCAATTAATAAAATACTCATGAACAATTAATTCAGGAAACGCACGAATAGCAATAAATTGGAAGAAATAGTGAAGATTCGATTAGATCTCACAGATATTATGGACCGCGCCCTCGCGTCAACCTTTGGGTATATGAGGAAATTAGCCGCTCCTCATCGCATTAATTTCACGTGATTCAATTGACATCATCCGCACAATTACCCAAGAATCAATTGCCCAGAAATAGGGAGGATGAATTAATCGAAGAAACAATCAACGAAAAACCTGGCTTCGTCTTGTATTGGAGCCGCAATTACAAAGCAAAAGCCAACGGAGAATTGTCAAAGGCGAAAGGAACGAATTCAAGAGTCAGAGTCGCATAAAGCAAAAACTACGGAAAAGAAGAAAGTCTCCAATGTCTGACCCAAAGCCGCAAAAGAAACAAAAGAAAAGCGTCTAACCCCAAAATTGCAAAAAGTAAAACTAAAGCTAACAGAAGTGATCCCCCGAATCTTCCTTTTTTCCTCTTTTTTATAGCCGCCGTAAGTAGTATTCCTCCCAGGAAGAGGCTTTTGCCTAAGGGGCGCTGATCCCACGCTTCAGGTTCACGTGGACCGGGGTCCGGCTTTTCGGTAACGTCCACCTTGTCTGGCGTGACCACGCCCTGAAATGAGAAGTCTTCTGGAAATTTACCTCAAGATATCATTTTTAATGCTAACCACCTACAAGTCACACAAATATCAAATATGAGTGAAATTTCATTTCTTAGCACCATGAATAGCCAAAATTAGGACAAGATGACAATGCAAAATGTGCCAAATAACTGCTCTATCAATAGGGAGAGTCAGTATGGTAACTGGCTTCGAGCCAATTTCCCTAGGAGTCCAAGGAAGAAAGGCAGGAATGATAGGGAAGAGGAAACATCAGGGAAATAAGGGTATAGGGATCAAAGCTCAGATGGGGAAACTGGGAGCCAACTGTATCCTCTACTTACCTACACTAAAGAATTCCATAGGGGGAACGGGAAGACAGATATTCAATCCAATGAGAAGGAGAACTGGGGACCAGCAGTTAGGGGGGCCAAAGAGAAGCGTGGAATGGGAGGCAGAAGGGTGAGGGGATTAGTAAGTATGTGGTAGGGGAGCAAGAGAGTAAGCATGGAGGACAGGTTTTAGAGGAGGTAAAGGAGTTAGTAGAAGTAGAAAAAGGAGGAGACTTGCTGATGCTCAAGGCAGTGGATGTGGGGAGTGCAGTGGAGGGAGGGAGTGGCAAGGATAAGATGTGGATTGATGGTGAGAACAACCACTATTTGCACAGGGGTAGGAGTATGAAGGAGGGGGTAAAGGGAGGGAGGGAAGATCAGCAGGAAGGCCAGGGTAATAAAACCGGCACGGGGAAGTATAGGATCAGTAAGACATGGAAGAGACTGGTGCAGGAGGTGGGAAAGAGGAAGCCTTTGACTAAGATTGAAACTGCACAGAATGGCATGGAAATAGGGAAGAGAAGAAAGGGAGCAGGTGGGGGTGAGCTGGAAAGGAACCTGAGGAAGGCTGAGTGTAAGAAGAAAGCCAGGCTGATTGAAGGGGTTAGAATGTGGTGATGCTGTATAAGGTGGTGGAGCCCTTCCTTAATGGGGCTCCTACCCCTCAATGAGAACTCTGGTGTGGAACTATCGAGGTGTGGGGAGCCCCTTGACAGTTCTCCAACTTAAGGAACTTGTACAAGTCCACTCTCCATCTCTGATATTCTTATCAGAGACAAAAAAGAAAAAGACCTTCATAAATAGTGTTAAGCAATGGGTAAAGTTTGATGATCTGTTTGTAGTAGACCCTGTGGGGATTGCAGGTGGTTTAGCTGTGATCTGGAAGAGGGATATATGGGTGAAAAGTATCTTATTTACTAGTTTTACTATAGAGTTACTTATAGGGGATCAGGGAGGTAGTCGAGATTGGTGGTGTGTGTGTGCCTATGCCAGTTCAGATGATAAGATTAGGGTGTAGCAATGGAGGGTGTTAGAGAGGAGAACACAGATTTGGGGTGGTTGTTGGTCTTAAATGAGAGATTTGAACGATATCACCTATAATAGAGAGAAGTGGGGGGGTAGAATCAGGCCTGCTAGCGGTTTTGAAAGTTTCACTGGTTTCATTAATAGGGCTGGCCTGATAGATATTGGCTTTGAGGGAGTGCCTTGGACCTAGTGTAATAACTGGGACAATGAAGGAGTGATTGAGGAAAGGAATGATAGAGTGATGGGTACTAAGCAGTGGTGTGGAAATTTTGGAAAGGCTAAAGTTACTCATGCTGAAACAGAAGCTTCTGATCATTGTGCCTTGGTACTAGATCTGGCCCATGTAGAAATACCAAGAAAGAGGAGATTTGCTTTTGATAAGAGATGGATTATGCAGGAGGGGGTTGGGGAGGTGATCAAGGAGGCATGGGGGAAGGAGCAACAGGGGTCAAGGTTGTATAGAGTGCAGAGTAAAATTAAACAAGTTCGTATGAATCTGCTGCATTGGAGCAAAAAATTGAATTTGAACTCAAAAAAGCAGATAGAACAGATTAAAAAGGAAATTAAAGATGTGAGGGAAAGCCAGGGCAGAGAGGACAGAACAAAATTTATAGGACTGAAGAGGAAATTGGTAGAGGCTTACAAGAGAGAGGAGGTATACTGGAGTCAGAAGGCAAGAATTAAATGGCTCCAGGAGCGAGACAAAAACACTAGCTTCTTCCATGCTAGTGTAATAAGTAGGAGGAAGCAGAATAGGTTTAATGGTCTGAAAAGGAGAGGTGGGGAGTGGCGTAGGAATGAGGAGGAGGTCAGGGAGGAAATTGTGGACTATTTTCAGCAATTGTTCACGTCTGATGATCCAACTGATTTCAGTGTTATTTTGGAAAAGATCTCACAGACTATAACTGCTGACATGAACAGAAAGTTGACATGGCCAGTCTCTGATCAAGAAATCAGTCATGCAGTAAATTCGATGCATCCAAACAAGTCTCCTGGACTAGATGGTATGTCCTCTATCTTTTTTCAAAAATTTTGGCATGTTTTCAAATGTGATGTTATTAGTGCAGTTCAAAGCTTTTTTCACTCTGGTCATATCCTAAAATCCATAAATGAGACCTTGATAAGCCTTATCCCTAAAACTGATTCACCAATTCTGATTGCTAAGTTTAGACCTATCAGCTTGTGTAATGTAACTTACAAGATCATCTCAAAAGTTCTAGTCAACAGATTTAAAACTGTGCTAGACTGTTGCATTAGTTCCTCTCAGTTTGCTTTTGTGCCTGGTAGGCAGATTCTAGACAATGTCCTAGTGGCACATGAGAGTATTCATTTTCTTAATAATAAGAGAACTGGAAAGGATGGTTATATGGCTATCAAGCTTGATATGTCTAAGGCTTATGATAGAGTTGAATGGGTGTTTTTGGCAAAGATGATGCAAAAAATGGGGTTCTGTCCAACTTGGATTCAGTGGATTTTAGAGTGTATAACTAGTGTCACCTACTCTGTGAATGTTAGTGGGGAAAAAAGGGGGTTTATCAAGCCTTCTAGAGGCTTAAGGCAGGGGGATCCCCTATCCCCCTACTTATTTCTGATTTGTGCAGAAGGTTTCTCTGCCTTGCTCAGAAGAGCTAATAGACAAGGTGGTATGTCTGGAATGAAGATTGCTAATGAAGCTCCTAGCTTGTCTCATCTCGTCTTTGCAGATGATTCACTAATTTTCTGCAGAGCCAAGGTTGGGGAGGTTGTGCAGCTTATGAAGGTGTTGGAAGAATATGGAAGAGCATCTGGCCAGTTGATCAACAAAGAAAAGTCCTCTATCTTTTTCAGCAAAAATGTCAAAGGAAGGAGAAAGGAAGAGGTGCTTAAAGAGCTGGAAGGCATGAGAGAGGTTCATCAGAGCAAATATCTTGGGTTTCCTATGGTTATAGGAAGGTCAAAGAGACAGGTATTTGAGTTTATTAGACAGAAAGCAGTTAAAAGACTTGGGGGTTGGAAGGAAAAACTTCTGAGCCAAGCAGGAAAGGAGACTTTATTGAAGTCTGTCATTCTAGCTCTCCCTGCATACGTGATGTCTTGCTGTAGGCTGCCAAAGGCATTGTGACAGAATGTATGTTTAGAAATGGCTAAATTCTGGTGGGGATAGAGGGAGGATGAAAAGAAAATTCACTGGATAAAATGGAGTAGAATGACAGATATCAAAGCTGAAGGGGGCCAGGGATTTAGGGATTTACAGGACTTTAACTTGGCATTATTGGGGAAACAATTATGGAGAATTTTGATGCAGCCTAATTTGCTGATGAGTAGAGTAATGAAAGCGAGATACTTTGGTGGGAAATCCATATGGGATGTACAACCGAAAGGAATAGCTCAGGGGAACTGGTAGGTTCATCAGCGAGGCCAACTGAAGGCTGTGCTGAGGCACAGGTGGAGGAAGCTCTGGCAATAAGAGAAGCTATGGTACTAGCGAAACGAATGGGATGGAGAAAAGTGGAGCTGGAATCGGACTGTAAGCTAGTAGTGGACAAAATCAATGCAAGGGAGGAGGAAGTCAGCATAGCCGTAATTCAGTTGGATATTTGGAGGCTGATGAAAGAATTTGATAAATGTTGTTTTTCCTATACTAGAAGGAGCAACAACTATGTAAGTCACTATTTAGCAAAGTTTGCTATAACACTGATTGATGTAGTTGAATGGAAGCTTAGCTTCCCAGCGTGGCTGCTTGAGTTAACTCGGGCAGATTTACAGGAGCAGTTGCTCTGACTTTGTACCCGTTTATGCTTAATACAATGTTATCGTTTGAAAAAAAAAAAGAAGTGGGAAAGATTTTCTTAGGATCTGTTTGGATGAGGGATTTGAGTGGATTTGGATTTGAAATCCACCCATCAATTGGAGGAATTTCAAAGCTCAAAATTGTACAGTGGAGAGAATGACATAAAATATGCATCCGTAATTTATCTCAAGGAGGAAGCATGTTTAGCCAAAAGACTCATTGGCTCGGTTTAAATTGACAATACTGTAGAATAAATAGTCCTAATGTTCCAAGTTATATGAGCATATAATTAAATTTAGGGTAAAAATACACTTTATCCCCTGTGGTTTGGCACTTTTTCGCATAACCCCTTGAGGTTTGAAAAGTTATATATAACCCTTTTATAATTTGGACAATAGTGTCAAAATGGCAGAATTTGTATTCCATAATAAAATCAACTAAAATGTTAAAAGTTCTCATTTATAAAGTTGAAAACTATTAATTACCAACAGGGGGTTATGCATAAATTTTAACAATCAAAATGAGATTATATGGTAAAGTACTAAATCGTAAGGGAGTTATGTGGTAAAATACAAAACTATAAAGGGTTAAAATGTCATACATATTACGTTTATATATTTTACTTATTTCAACTATTTTAGTTTTTAAATAAGGGTATTTTTTACATTTTTTGGATTCTGTTATATAGGATATTTTTGTCAATTTGACACTTCAATTCAAACTATAAAGGGACTGTGAATAACTTTTAAAACTTTAGAAAAATTATGTAAAAAATTATTAAATCACTTGGGAGTAAAGTATATTTTACCCTTAAATTTATTAAAGATGACAAGACAAATCAAGTACGATGTTATCTAAGAGTACATCGCACAGTTTGTGCACCACCAACCCTTTCATCCCAAATGTCATTCGGAATTGTGTTCTTTGTGGTCATGCAAGTGAAATTATTGCCACCTACCCGTAATCATCCAAGTGAAGTTGCTACCACCAACTATCCTTTCATTCAGCCATCTTATCCCAAAATCTTATCCGGAACGTGTTTTTTGTGTTCATGCAAGTGTAAATGTACTGAGATAATCCACATCGGAGATCAGAAGAACAAAGAAATGAAATATAAGTTTTGATCCGTTGAATTATTAAGGGTTAATCACATTTTATCCCGTTAAAGAATACCCCATTTCTCAGTTTACCCCCTAACATTTAATTTTGCTCACTTAACCCCCTTTAGGATAAAATTGCCTTTGCATTATTTTGACTTTTCATTTACCTTGTTTTCCTTTCTTTTATTTCTTTTTCTCTTTCTTCTTTATTTAATTCTTCCTCTTTCCCACAAAAATTTTCACCTTAATGATTGAAATTAAAAAAGAGGAATTACAAAGATCTATCTTCTTCTTAAATGATCAAAAAAAATTCAAACCACTTTTCTAAAATACAGTTTTTTTAGCCTTTCAATTCTTTTAATTTTGGGTTTTCCTCTTTCCTTTCTAGTTTCTCATTTTATTCTCAAGAAAATATCATAAGATGAAATTGTTTTCCTTTCTTTTATTTCTTTTTCTCTTTCTTCTCTCTATCATCCTTCCCAATAGAAAATTCGATTTCCACAAAAATTTTTGTTTTGAGTTTGTAATCGCATATTTTTGGGCGAAGGTTTAAAAGACATCAAAAACTAATTTTGATTTTTTGTATGATGTCACGTGCCACAAATTTCAATTGATAATTATTAATCAGGTCACAATTTCATCTTAAGATATTTTCTTGGGAATAAAATGAGAAATTAGAAAGGAAAGAGGAAAACCCAAAATTAAAAGAATTGAAAGGCTAAAAAAAATTGTATTTTAGGAAAGTGATTTGAATTTTTTTTAATCATTTAAGGAAAAGATAGATCTCTACAATTCCTCTTTTTTAATTTCAATCATTAAGGTGAAGATTTTTGTGGGAAAAAGGAAGAATTAAATAAAGAAGAAAGAGAAAAAGAAATAAAAGAAAGGAAAATAAGGTAAATGAAAAGTCAAAATAATGCAAGGGCAATTTTGTCCTAAAGGGGGTTAAATGAACAAAATTAAAGGTTAGGGGGTAAACTGAGAAATGGGATATTTTTCAATGGGATAAAATGTGATTAACCCAATTATTAATTATTTTGAATACACAGTTTCAGTTCAAAAAATTATTCGGCCAATCTAGTAGACTCGGAGCGTTATAAATGGTATCAAAGCAATTCTTTTATGGTCTCTTATCGGAATTCTCTAGAATCCACATATGACTGAGTGGTGAGTGGATAGTTATGATCAAATTTTGCAAGAACGTAAAGTTTCAAAGGGGAGGATTGAGTGAGATGTCGCACATTGGAAATCGGAAAAAGAACTAAATGAATTATAAGTTTCGCCCCATCCAATTACTAATAAATTTGGATTAATCATTTTAAATACATAGTTTTAATTCAAAAAGTTAATGGGTCACACCAATGGACCCAAGGCGTTATATCTTCCGTTTCATTCAGTACTATATATATATACACACACATGTGTGTGTGTGCAAAAGTTTTTTTCTGATTGGGTAGCATTATTATATAAGAAAAATGTTTTAAAAATAGTTTGCAACAGCTACCCTTAATTCATCTTGTCAATGAACACTCCACTTGTACTTAGATACTAAACTAATATTTGACATTGCAAAAAAAAAAAAAAACAAAATCCCTCAAAACTAGGATTCTCTCCATGTAGTATTATATTCTGAATTAATTTAGATGAAGACATCGTTACTCGCCTATTTTGAATTATTTGCAATTCTTTTGAGGATATAATAGGATGTTATTTTGATTAACAACAAAATAATTGTTTGATATAAAAGCTTAAAGTAGCTTTAGAAATGTATATATCTACACAGATAAAACTTAATTGTCAAATCGACTATTGAAACTACTTGTGTCATTCTTTTGAACAATAATAGAGATAAGTTGAAACTTTGTTTAACTATGTCTTTCATTTTTGTTACATTTCATGTAAAGCGCTAACATAACATGGGTTCGATTTAGAGAACGGCTCGTCCAAAGTTGGCATTCTTGGAGAACTGGATTTTGGCAAATTTGTTTTGTCAATTTTTCTTAGCATTGAAACTTGCAATATCTGTGAAAACTCCAGCACAAGGCTGTCAAAAATGGCAGTCTTGATTGAATAACTTTGTCTGAATTCTTAAAAAAAAAAAAAAAAAAAAATTTTTTGTTTGATTGTTTTATTCCCTGAATTTCTCGAACTAAGATTATTTTGATGTACGCTGGTCTTTACTCCTTATGGTGGAGTAATTTCATCATCAAACTTCGGATGTGTAAGAACGTGTATGATTATATGGTATATTGACATGTTCATAGATAATCTACAACCATTCTATGCTTCTTGAGATTATTCAGAATAATCAGCTTTTTCGAACTTATGGACAATTAATATTACGGTAGACATATTTTGGCATGTAGTCAAAAAATAAATAAATAAATTTGGAAGACTTTTTGCCCCTAAAGAGTCATTTAGCTATAAATGAACGTTTGCACCTTTAACCGTTGGTACATACAACATACTACTGTCTGATTCTTTTGCCTTTTACGGGTAAAAGAAGGAAAAGAAAATATTAAAGATGTACTAAAATTTTTCTAGTTAAGCAATGAACTGGATATTTATATTGAATGCGATAATTTACATGAGAAACACAGACTCTTGTTACCACGGGATAACAAGTTCAACACAACTAAATGCAGCAGAGAAGGGGAAAATGATGGGATTTGTATCTCAGGGAAAAGGGAAAAAAAAAAAATCCAAAACCAAACACTTGGTAGTAGTTTTTATGTTACAAGCAACAAAATGTTCCTTAACTTAGGGATAAACCTCAATGAGACACCTCATGCCCAAGACTGGATATACTTTATAGCTACTAAATCCAGCATCTGAAAACAATTTTGACCATTCCTTCCCAGTTCTTCCTTTGGCAGGGCCGAGCATAACCAACATCTGCATGTCCAAGCTAAATTCTGTTTCAAATGATGTCTCATCTTGTATCTGGCTTCCCATTACACTGTCTATAATGATCACCTTCCCCCCACTGTCTATTTCTGTTAAGTTTAACGGATTCCGTCACCTTTATAATTTAGTTCAAAATATGAGTGGTCGTGTTGTATATTTTAAAATCATGAAGGGCTTTTCTATGTATTAGGTTTATCACAGGAAACTTTTTTATTTTTTTACCCTAAAGAAAATCAGAATTCAGTGACAGGATGTCTTTAGTTACCTTGAGCAAGATTGCATTAGCACGGGGTACACTTCGAAACATATCTCCAGCTAAAAATTCCAAGTTCTCAGCTCCTTCTTGATTGGCAACGACATGTGCGAGATCATATACAGTACATTTTATGCTAGGAAAGTTTTGGGCAACGGCCTTAGCAACTTTGCCAGTACCACCCCCAACATCAGCAAAAGTTGTCAAGCCTTCAAACACAAACTTGCATTTGGTCATCAGCACTTCTACAGACAACTGACTATCACTAGCCACGGCCTCGTTAAACATGTTTCCAAATCGAACTTCTCGCGCGCTGTAATCCCAGAGATTATTCCCATATGCAGTATCAAATGGAGAGGGACCATCATTCTGGAACCACTCGGTCAAGAGATTCCAGGGCTTCAACAGTGCAGGATCACATGATAGAAAAATGTGTGCCCGTACATTGAATGGCTCGTCTTTCAAAAGAAGCTGACCTGCAGAGGTGAGTGCATAGCCTTGAGGGTTTTCAACAAAGAATCCAGAGTTAGCCATGAATCGCATTAAGCGAAAAATGTGGGCAGATTTAAAAGGGTGGATTGGGAGGACAGAAATCAGGTCAGAAAGTGTGATGGGCTTCCCATGATTACTGATCACATCTGGGATTCCCAACTCAACTGCACACTTTAGACATGCAGATTTCTTGAAGTGGAACATTGCATTCCACACATGAGTTTGAGCTTCAATAAGCTCAACTAAATTCTCAGCTTTTTCCATCTTTTGTTCAAATTCAATGGCATTAATTCAGTAGCCTAATTAAACAATAAATGGTTAAGCAGGACTGCATTTATATGGTAGTAAATTATGGGTAGCAGTGCATATCTGGTACTAAATTATGGCAGTAGATCCCTCTTGTGCCTGCTATGAGGCTATATTTGATTGGTTTCCACGATTTCAAAGTATCTAAATAGGTTTGGCAGATCTAGAGGTGTCAAACTTCACCAAACCAAATAAATACGCCCAAGCAATTCGATTAAAATATCTAATTTCTGACGCAATTGCAATTATGAGTTAGTAACTGAGAAAATTCAAAACGAATGAACCACGAGCAAGACTGAGAGTAAATTGAAGCTGCCACCATTGATGGTGACATAAAAGTTGAAACAAATGGTTATGGGGGTTTGACTAGCTTTTCGAGGATCGACCGGGTAGCAATTGTTTTGCCGTATTCTTGATGGCAGACCTCTTCCATGTTACAAGCATTTACAGAAAAGGTAATCCAAAAAAATGTTATCATCTTCCTTGTTCACTACAATGGTGGTCTGGAAATTTTTTATTGGAAAATCTCAAATAAGAGTCGGGATGCTTTTTAATTTTGAATGGGCTCACAAAAGGTCGATTCTCTAATTTTGACTCGTCAAGGAAATTTTGTTTAATGTGGCCTCTCACATAAAATAGTAGAAGGCTAAAGCCTATAAGCTGTATGCAAAAGATGATATTGTATTACTCAAGTAATTTTTGTTGTGATCACTAGATTATGTAGGGATAACGTTAAAAACAACTTCTAGAATTCTAAACAAAAAGAAAAAATCTAGAATTCTAACAGGTGGTTTGAAAGATTCAACTTTATACGGCTGGACTAAGACAATCTAGTAGTTAGAACGCAAAATGAGATAGGATTTGCCTAATGAAGTGCTGAGATACTGATTTGTGGCAGATAGCTTTGGGATGGGGATTGTATTTTGAATGTTTTCCAAGTTGATTTTATTTGTGTCTCTTGTGTATAGTACAGGTTTTCTTATGTGTACTTGAGGGCTTTTTCTCTTGAAAAAATGTTGTTGCAAATATTAGCATAAGTTTTACCGTTTGGGGTAAAAATAAATTATTGATTAATTTGGGCCCAAATGCATTAAATTTGAAATTTTCAAGTTGGGCAAATAGGCATGCAGATTTTGCAACCTGCGACATGGAGACACTAACAAGTGGTTTTAGGCAAAGTTATTAAAACCAACATGGGCATCAACCCGACAGGAGGATCGGGTTGGCGGGTTAATGGTTCAACTGGCGGATCACTGGTTGAACTGTCGAATCACACTATATAATAAAAAAAAATATATAATATAATTAAATAAACATATAAATTATAATATAAGTATAGAAATTCTTAAATGTTAAGAAATCATAACCTATTTATATTTCATATTTTATACACACAAGCCATACCCATACGTGTTTTTTAATTCGTGAATTTATATTGATATTATACACAAATATAAATAATAAATCTAAATATCAAAGAAAGAAAAAAAAACCTAATTCTCAAATTTCTTTTCAATTTTTCTCATCTAATTGTCAAAAAGACGATAATGCCAATGTTGGTATGGCTGGTCAAGTAAAAAAAATTGAGTAAAAAGGTAATTTCAGAAAAATTTTCAAAACCAGCCAGGTTTAACCGGCCATAGGTTCAACCGTTCGAGTCAAATGATTCAAAGCGAGTTATTTGCAACTCCGATCCAATTGCCAAATCGCTTGGTTCCATGGCCTATCTACTGATTTGACCGATTCAATATTGGGCAGGGCCGAATTTAATAACTTTGGCAAAAAAGTGTGGCATGGATCTTCAGAAATTAATTCATTTACAGAAAGAGCTCTCTTTTTCTTTGTTTCTGTTTTATTTTTTTCAAAGCTTCACTAGTCAATAGTTAGTGACGCCCTATTTTTTTCATCTTCGGTTTCCATGTACATTACGCAAAGTGGAACTGAGTATAGCCGACATGTAAGCACATATGACGGTTAGCAACAAGGAATAAAGATTACGAACAAGCCATGAGTTTCAATCCTGGTCATGTATATCTATGAAATAAAAACTGAATTTAGAAATCTTCAACTTTGGCCTGTGAATTTAGAAATATAGTGAGAATAATCCAACTAGAAACGATTGCCCATCTCTTTTTAAAGTAAAAATTTACCTCGAATATATGTTAAGAGTTTGACATGAGCTCCTACAAGTGATGTTTTCATATTGGATGAAGGGAAGCTGCAAATCTGGCTAGGTGATACTAGTGCGATTGATGTTTGCTTGAGCTCTAAAAGCTTTCTTTTGAAGAAAATTAAGAAGTTGTTTGAATTGCATTTTGAGGAAGAGATTTTGGGAAAGAAATTGCTGTTATACTTTTTGGATGTAATTTTCATGAAATAAAATGCAATTTTGAACATCAATGGTGGCAATTTTGAAATTACTGTTATACTTTTTATCACTGTCCTACATTTTCAATCGGTAGAATCTTGAACATCAACCTATTTGGTTGCACCTACAACTTTGGGTATTTGTCCAGCTACTCTATTGATTTTTCCCCCTTCCAATTTCTGAATTAATCGGGTTGTGTAAATAGTTTTGTTTATGTGCTATTTCTTTGCTTGTTTGAAAAAAAAAAGTGAAAGGAAAAAGTAACAAAAAGGTCAGACGTGCTGTAATTTCATTATTGAGTTGTGTAAAAGCTTTTTCTTTTTGACAGTTGAGCATACATATAGAATTTATGATACATTAGTTTATGTCATATACACACAAATAATACCTAGGGTTTTTTCTCTCCTTGCCGCTGCCTTCTTCGTCTAGGGTTAGTGGTGCTTCATGGCTGGCCGTCAGCCATTGGCTGAGGGGCTAGGCGGCTCTCCTTCACGGAGATCCTTCTCTCAGTTGTTCTCTCAACCTTCATCCTCACCCATACAACTCCGGCCAGTGACTTCCTACAAGGGCGAGGCTGCTGTAATTTTCTCCAGGGAAGATGCAGACAGATTGGCATCTCCTTTTCGCTGGGCGTTGGTGGGAAAGTTTTCGCATGGTAGGCCATCTTTGGAAGATATTCGGAAGTTCTTAGCAACATTGAATCTGAGGGACCATGTCTCAGTTAGATTGCTGGATTATCGCCATGTTCTTATCAAATGCTCGGCAGAAGTGGATTTCAATAGATTATGGACACGAGGGATTTGGCAATTGGGTAGGTTTCCCATGAGAGTGTTTCGATGGACAAGGGATTTTCACGTTCAGAAAGAATCCTCTCTCGCTCCAGTTTGGGTAACATTACCAGCCTTACCAGTACACTTCTTTGATAAACATTCTCTGTTCTCCATCCTTTCTCCAGTAGGGAAGCCGTTATTCTTGGATGCGGCAACGGCAGCGGGTACACGGCCTAGTGTGGCCAGGGTATGTGTGGAAGTGGATTTGGTGAAGCCCATATGCTCCAGAGTTTGGGTTGCAGTGGAGGGTGAGACAGGTTTCTGGCAGTAGATTGTCATAGAAGATCTCCCCTCGTATTGTTCAAAGTGTTGACGGTTGGGTCATGCGGGTGGTGACTGTAAGAGGGAGGGATTTGCGAGTCGTCAAGTCCCCAAGCGCCTTGCGGTGGCTTCGCAAGTGCCCCAGGCAGCGGCAGACAACAAGCAAACGGAGGAGGTCTCGGTTAAGGAGACCCAGGGAGATTCAAAGATACGGGAGGAGGACCCGTTACTCGTGATAATGCCAACGCTGGCGGGGGAGAGCTCCATGAAGGGGCTGTGCCTGAGTGAGGGGGGAGAGGCTGCGGCTTCACAGGATGGACAGGGACCTGGGCAGCACGAAGTTGAGGGGAGTATGGTAAGCGTAGAGGGCAGGCCCGAGGAGCAGGAGTGTAGGGACTCGGGGAAGGGGGATGCAGATGGGAGTTCGGTTGATAAGGAACCAGGACAAGGCAGCGAGGAGCAGCGGCACACTGGCGACGGGCAGGCGACACTTGCGAAGGACACCAGCCTGGGTGACATGCAGTATCTGTGCTTGGACAGGGACGAGAGGGCTGAGGAGGGGGAGATTGCAGAGGTGTACATTGAGTTACCTATTGCGGCTGGGAGTTTGTCCCCAAGAATGGTTGTGCGACAGGACAACGTCATGGAGTCATCGGTCCAGGCATTAAACATCGACCAGGTCACTAATGGGGTGCAAGGTATCAAACAAGGGCGAGGGAAAGGTGGCCGTGTGCGTATCCCCTCTGATCGCCAGTTGAGGTCTGCAACACCAACCTATAACTCCTTCCAGGTTTTGCCTCATGATTAACGCAATTTTCTGGAATATTCGCGGGGTCTCTAAAGCCCCCAATCTTAGGAGATTGATAAAATTAATAAGGTTGTATGCGGTCAAGTTTGCTGTTATTTGTGAGCCCAAATCTGATGTGTCTAAGGTTGACTTCATTCGTATGCGTCTGGCATTCGATTCAGCTATTACAAATTTGTCGAATGACATCTGGATTTTTTATTGCAATCCCTTCAGTTGTACGGTTATAGGTAATTCTACACAGCATATTTCCTTATCTATTCAGCATCCACAATTGCCCAATTCTATCATTTTTTCTTTTGTGCATGCCAAGTGCTCTTTGGAGAAGCGAAGAGAACTTTGGCAGAACCTACTTGATGATAAACCTAGTTCCCTTCCGTGGTGTATTGGGGGGATCTTAATGTTGTTATGGCTCCCCATGAAAAGCGGAGGGGTCGGCCGGTTGGGGTCCATGAGGGGTTGGAGCTCATGTCTTTTATGGAGGTAGCTGGCGTCTTTGACGTGGGCTATTCGGGTGCTAACTTTAATTGGTGCAACAATCGGAGAGGTAGAGCTAAAATTTGGAAGCGATTGGACAGAGTGTTAATAAATGGGGAATGTGCGGAGGTCTCTTCCACCATCTCCGTAGAGCATTTAGCGTGACACCCATCCGATCATGCTCCTCTACGGATTTCGTTTGCTACTCGACTAGACAACAAACCGAGGCCGTTTCGATTCTTGAACGTTTGGACTTCTCAGGCTACCCTGATAGAGGTCATTAGAGCTGCTTGGGATAGATCGGTGATTGGGGCTCTGCTACGGGTCTTGTGTTTGAAACTGTTGGCAACAAGGAAAGCTATCCAGGAGTGGAACAAGCAATCCTTTGCTAACGTTTTCGACATGGTTAGGGTGGCAGAGGAGACGGTTCGACGGGCTGAGGTGGAGGTGGAGGGCAATGAGGTTGAGCAGGCACATGATGGCCTTGAAAGGGCTCAGGCGGACCTAAGTCGGGCCCTGGCTCTTGAGGAGCAATTTTGGAGGCAAAAGGCCCGAGTCCGGTGGCTTCAAAGTGGAGATCGGAATTCCAAGTTTTTCCATGTGGTGGTGAAGCAACGAAGGGTGCAGAGCGCTATCCATCGGATCAAGAACTCACAGGGTTCCTGGGTGGAAAAGGATGACGAAATAGCATCTGAGGCGATCACGTTCTTCTTGGACCTGTTTTCTGAGCCTATTGCCCCTGTACAGGAGCTGTTGCACTTAATTCCCCCATTAATCACGGAGGAGGATAATAAGCTCTTGGAGCAGGTCCCGACCATGGAGGAGGTTCGACGAGTGGTTTTTACAATGGACGGGGAAAGTGCTGCAGGACCGGATGGATTCACGGGTAAGTTCTTTACATTTTCCTGGGATGTCATTGCCCAAGATGTCTATAATGCGGTGCTAAGCTTTTTCTGTGGGGCTGAATTACCTAAATTCATTACTTCCACCTCTATTGTGCTCATCCCTAAGGTGTCAAATCCTCAAGACTTTTCAATGTTTAGACCGATCAGTCTCTGCAATTTTTTTAACAAACTGTTGTCTAGACTTTTGGCCGACAGGCTATCCTCTATTTTGCCGAAGATAATCTCCCCCCAGCAGACGGGTTTTGTTAAGGGGCAGAATATAACGGAAAATTATTTGTTGGCCCAAGAATTGATGTCGGGTATTGGCAAGTCCGCTAGAGGGGGAAATGTTGCCCTTAAGTTGGACATGTCTAAGGCATATGATAGGGTGTCCTGGTTTCACATTGTTAATGTGTTGCGGAGATTTGGGTTTGGAGAGCAGTTCATAGACAGGGTTTGGCGTCTACTCTCTAATGTGTAGTTCTCAGTCATTGTCAATGGTGCATTGCATGGATTTTTTAAGTCGGCTAGGGGGTTGCGTCAGGGTGACCCTTTGTCACCGGCGCTATTTGTTATAGGTGCTGAGGTGCTGTCGAGAGGTCTTAATGACATGGCTCTCCAGCCAGGGTTTGTCGGCTTTAAAGTTCCCCATGGGTGTCCTACTATCTCCCACTTGGCTTTTACGGATGATGTTCTTATATTTGCAAATGGTTCGTCCAATTCTTTGCGGCGCATCATGCGGGTTTTGGAGTTGTACCAGCATTCCTCGGGGCAGTTGGTGAATGCTCAAAAAAGCGGATATATGACTCACCCATCACTGCCTCCGTCTCGACGAAGGTTGATTGAGCGGGTCACGAAGTTTACTAGGCAGGCTCTTCCATTTCGCTACTTGGGATTCCCGCTGTATTTGGGCAGGTGTCGGTCGTCGTATTTTGGGGGAGTGAGCCGAGCTATTTTGGGAAGGGTGATGTCATGGAAATCAAGGCTTCTATCTCCAGGTGGGAAGTTAATCCTTATTAAACATGTTCTTGCAGCTATACCTGTCCATTTGCTCTCGGCAGCAGTGTTGCCGAGCTCGGTATTCGCAATGATTGAAAAGGTTTGTGCAAACTTCTTGTGGGGATCACTGGATGAGAAAGCGAAGTTCCATTTGATACGATGGCCTCATTTATGCTACCCGGTGGAGGAGGGAGGCGCAGGATTTCGTAGGCTTCGGGATGTCTACCGAGCTTTTTCGTGCAAACTATGGTGGCTGTTTCGGACGGGATCTTCGCTTTGGGCAACCTTTTTGCACGCTAAATATTGTAGAGGGGCTCATCCGTGCGAAGTCCCATTGAGGTTGTCCGCTATGGCTACTTGGAGACGAATGTGGAATGTTAGTCGACAGGTGGAGTTGTCAATGCTATGGCAGGTTAACGAGGGTTCGTGTAACTTCTGGTATGACAATTGGTTAGGCAGTGGTGCTTTAGTGCTGCGGTCTACCGTCGCCCCGGATCTCACTTTTGGGGACTTCATCAGCAATGGGGAATGAGATGTACAGTTGCTTTCTCGAGCTGTACCACAAGACATTATCCCGGCCATCTTACAACAGCCGGTACCTGGTGGGGGTTGTGCGGATGAGGCGGTATGGATGGCGTCGACATCTGGTAAATTCACCCTGGCCTCGGCTTTTGGAGAAGTTCGTCAGGCCCGCAACATCTCGGCTGTTCTATCTCGTGTCTGGCATCATCGAATTCCATTGAAGATTTCCTTTTTCATGCTACGATTATTGATGGGCCGGTTGCCTCTGGCAGAGACGCTATGTAAGCTTGGCTTTCATATGCCTTCAAAGTGCCTTTGTTGTCAAAGTCCATCCTGTGAATCCATTGAGCATCTGTTCTCTATGGGGCAGGTGGCCCTGGAAGTATGGAGTTACTTTGGGAGTATGTGTGGGGTAATCTGTACAAGGTCCTTATTGCGTGCTCGAATGGGTGCGTGGTGGTTCGTTGAGCAGAAATTGGAAAGGAGGCGATTCATTTTTACTATCCTTCCTAGCCTTATTTGCTGGCATATTTGGAAGGCTAGGAATAAAGGCGTCTTTGAAGGCAAACCAATGCGTCCAGCAGTTGTTATTCAGGCCATATTCAGAGAAGCTAAGATGCTTTTGGAGATTCAGTTTAAGGGCCAAGTTGGGGCACACACGTTTCAGCAGTTATATGATTGGTCGGGTGTCCCAGTGGGTGGCTTTGGTTTTCAGTTGGTGCGTTGGATAGGGCCAGAATTATGGGTGTTAACGCTCAATACAGATGGGTGCTCAAAGGGGAACCCTGGTACGGGTGGTAGCGGTGGTGTCCTGCGCGACTCTTCCGGAAGGTTGCTATTGGCATTCTCGGCCTATCTTGGGGAAACTACCAGTCTACATGCGGAAACTTCAGCCCTTCTGATTGGGCTTCGCGAGTGTGCTCAGAGGGGATTCGGCAATGTAGGAGTCCAGTTAGATTCCTTGGTCCTGGTGGGGATTCTGCAGAAGACGTTCCAGTGTCCTTGGCACATCCGGAGGGCAGTTTGGCAGATATGGCAATTGCTTGGTGACTCCCCTCGGGTAGCTCATTGCTACAGGGAGGCGAACAAAGTTGCGGATATTTTGTCTAATGTGGGAGTTTCACACCCTGGACATCAGGTTAGGGTTTATGAACACGTAGGACTGATACCTCAGTTGGTTCGGGGCGCCCTTCGTTTAGATAGGTTAGGCTTGCCGTCAGTTAGGAAGGTCCGGATGGCGTAGCTTCTGTGTTGGGATAAGGCAGTGAGCATGGTTGTAACTTTCAGTTCGAATTCATAATAAATGATGAATTTAATAAAAAAAATAGAATTTATGATACCTTACTCTTGAAATTCTTGCCTCCTCGTGTGAAGGTGAAAAGAAATTACTGCATAGTTATATTTTCATAAGTTGTATAAAAGAATCAAAAAAGAAAAAAGAATAAGGTTTTGATGAGGAAAATTCAAAAATTGAAACAGCACGATTAGAGTTGAAAGATGAACTAATTTATATGATATTTGAATTGAGTTTAAGAGTTCATTCGAATTTGATTCGATAACTAGTCAAACCAAACTCGAATAACATTTTATATTCGATAGCATTCAAATTCGATAAAAACTCGTTCAAGTTCGATTGGACAAATAAACAAATCAAACTTAAATAAAATTTTAAAATCATTAAAATAATCAAACAAATTTAAATACTAGAATGTTCGTCTTGATTAAGTTCAATGACATCCCTACGCACAATGGCTAAATGTTGGGTCTCCTTTTTGGCTAAGTTATCTGCCCTGTAGTCTGTCTCTTGGGGTTAACGAATGATTCCTCAAATTCTTTCCCTGGGACGGGCCATGAAAAGAAATAAATACTCAAGAAATAAAATCATTCCTCATCATTCCAATCGTGCAATATCCACTGTTTAAATTAACATTCATATCACAAAGAATTCAAATTAGTCAAGAATACCACATCAAAAAGACATGGTTGTAATGAATCAGCAGCATATATAGATGTGTTTAGAATCAATACTAAGCTGCCTTTTAACAACAAAAAGGTGAATAGGGATCTGTTGCATCTTCTTGGAAAGGTGATCTTACCTTCATTGTAACATCATCTGCAGGAGGAATAGCTACAAACATACTTCCTCCAACAAAGGCTAAACTCTTGTTATTCGCTACCAAGCCGTCAACCACATGAGGAAGATCGAGAACAATACAGTTCAAGTCAGGAAAAGCATCAGCAATTTCCGTAGCCAAAGTTCCAGTTCCACCTCCAACATCCACCAAAGAATTCAACATTGAAAGAACATCCTTGCAATCCCTGATCAGAATACTGCCAACTAGCCTAGAATCGCTAGCCATTCCTTCATTAAAAAAATTATTAAGCCTCAGATCCTGGCCTGCAAGCTCCCACACTACCTTGTCATGACAAGTCTTGAAGGGATTCACATCACTGTTGTTTTGCAACCACCGGCTAAGGTGGTACCATGGATCCATCAAGGTAGGATCAAGCATGGTGTCACGCTAAAAGGCTCATCTTTTAATAAAAGTTTAGAAGAAGTAGTGAGCATATAACCTTCCTCTTCATCGTGCTGGGTAACTTTTGCCTCGATGAAGAAGCCTGAGTGGATTAGAATCCTCATCAGATGATAGACAAAGGGGGCTTTTGCATTGCCAATTGGAAAAGCATTGGTGAGTTCATCCAGACTCATTGGCTTAACATGCTTGTGATTAATGTCTGGTATGCCGAGTTGAATTGCACATTTGAGGGAAATGGAGTTTATGAAGTTGAATATGTGATTCCATATGTGAGCTTGAGCTTGAAGTAGCTTATTAGCATCACCATTTCTACCCAAGTCCATCTTTCGCTGTTGATTTTGTTTTCCTCTTTGGGTATAACAGGTAGGCATCCAATCTTATAGTTAAAGAGCATATAAGGCCCATACCAATGGATAGGCATGATGATTAGTAACTGGTGCCATGAGTGGCTATAACAATTCAATTTAGTTCTTCTGCGCACTCTTTTTGTTGATTAATATATTTGCAAGATCCAGAAAGGTGTATTTGTACTTGGGACTTCCCCTGGTGATAACAGCATCAAAAAAGCAAGTTTTCGCCTACATTGTTGATAAAGCAAAATAAAAAATGCAGGGATGGAAGCACAACTTACTCAGCTATGCAGGAAAAGAGGTACTTCTTAAGTCAGTCATAATGGCATTACCAAATTACACAATGTCATGCTGTAGGTTGCCTAAAGGACTTTGTTATGAAATATGTGGTCAAATGGCAAAATTTTGGAGAGGCCAAAATGAAGAGGATAGGAAGATGCAATGGGTAAGTTGGGAGAAAATTACACAGGTGAAGGAAAATGGAGGTCTGGGTTTTAGGGATCTAGAGCACTTTAATAGTGCTTTGTTAGCAAAGCAACTATGGAGGATATTGATGCAACCAGACCTATTAGTGAGCAGAGTGCTAGGAGCAAAGTACAAAATAGCGTAAACAGGCTGGGATGGAGAAGCTCCAAAGAACGCAACATGGGTGTGGAAAAGTATATACAGCTCTGGACTGGTGCTAAAAAAAGGAATGTGGAAGAGAGTGGGAGATGGGACTACTATCAACATATGGAGGGACAAATGGATCATGGCACCACCAACCGGGAGAATAGCAACTCAGAAACCTCCAGCTTGTAACTTGCAAACTGTGGCAGACTTGTTGATAGAGAAGGAATGGAATACAAAGCTGATTGAGGAGACGTTCTTAAAGCAGGAAGCTTCACAAATATTACAGGTGCCATTAAGTTTGTTTCCCAGAAAGGATGCGGTTTATTGGAAATACTCAAAATCAGGAAATTACACTGTGAAATCGGGATATGCAGTAGAAAAGGAAGAGGTCAACCAAAGACACAAGAAAAATCATGGAGAGGAAGGAACCAGCTACGCACAGCATAAAGGAAAAGTGTGGAAGAGCTTGTGGGGATTAAGGATGAAGCCAAAGATAAAACATTTCATATGGAGATGCCTACACAACAGCATTCCTGTAAATGAGTTGATACACAAAAGAACAGGAAAAGGCTCTCCATTATGCAAATGTTGTGGGGAGGGGGAGGAGACAGTGGAACATATGATTTTCTTTTGCAATAATGCTGACCCTATATGGAAGCTGGCCCCAATACAGTGGGACAGATTATTGCAATGGAGATCAAATTTCTGGAGATGGTGGGAAGGTATATTAGAGGCAAGGAGCAGACAAAGAGGAGAAGACCACATCACTTTAACAGCAAACATCATCTGGCAAATTTGGAAGGCAAGAAATGCTCGACAGTTTGAAGGGAAATGTGGAGAGCACATGGCCATACTAGAAACGGCAAAAAATGAATGGCTGGAGTTCCAAGAGGAGCAGGTGGAAAATGAAAAAAAGCATAGGACAGGAACGAGTCACCAAATGCAAAACTATCTATGGAGCCCACCAGACGCAGGGGTAATAAAGATAAACACTGATGCCACGATTCCTACTAAATCAGCAGGAGCTGGGTTAGGAATGATAGCGAGAGATAGTGATGGAAACATTGTCCAAGCAAGAGGCATCAGGAAGTATAGTAGGGGTGGTGCGGAAATGGAAGAGGCAGATGCACTCAGACAAGGCCTGCTAATGGCTAGAGAAGCTGGATGGCGAAGAATTGAAATGCAAACTAATTGCAAAGCTGCCATTGAAACAATATGCAAGACAGGCTTGGGTGAAACACCAATTGGCACGATCATAGAAGATATTAGACATTTGAGTGACATGTTCCAAGACTGTACTTTTTCTTTTGTGTATCGAGATGGAAATAGAAGTGCTCATAAAATGGCACAATTTGCAACTAAACTTGTTTCCAAGGTAATATGGAAACAAAGTTCCCCCCTGTGGCTCAAAGAGAGTATACAGGAGGATAATAGGACCAATGCCCTTTTATGTAACTAAAATCTTTTATTATCAAGTTCATATATGTATAAGAAGAATACCGTTTGAGAAAAAAAAAAAAAAAGAAGAAAGGTGTATTTGTGGAGAATGGGCTGGGACGGTTGTCAGGTGCCACCGTCCCAAATGATGTATGGGAAAGGTTTTCTCAACAAGGCAAATTTTGATAACGTGCAGCCAAAAGCAAGTCACATAACTTTGAAATTACAAACATATATGGATCTACACGAATATTAATTAGATACAATGTCATTGTTCGAAATTGAATAAGTAATTTACATTTTGTTTAGAAAGTGTTGTACAACTTAGGCAAGTTAAGAACTGAAAATCTTTTTCAGTTTTTTGCCCCTCATGTTTATCCGTTCTTTCTTCAACTTACATTCAGCTGTAATGGCTGAATTTAAAGCGGAAGCGATGCATCTACTTCAACTTCAACAATGTTGGAAACAGTTATTGTCCTTAGCTACCTCAACTCCACACCATTTATACATAATGTGCTTGCGGTGTATTCCAGGCTGGGATTTGGACACATTCCAGTGTTGGATTGTGGTGGGGTTTAATACCAAATCAATGGATTTTAATTGGTGAATTTTAATCTTATGAACTCAGGCAATAAGGATAAAAATCTAAATAACACTACTATAAAAAAAATTGTCAACTAGAAAACGTGCAACATCGATTTCATACCTTCATTAAAACAGCATCTGCAGGAGGAATGGCTTCAAACATGTTACCTCCAACATAGGCCAAGTTCTTACTACTCTCCAAGCCATCAACAACATGAGGAAGATCAAGCACAGTGCATTTCAGGCGAGGGAAAGCATCAGCAATTGCCTTAGCAAAGGTTCCAGTTCCACCTCCAACATCCACCAATGAATTCAAACTCTCAAAAACATGCTTACAATCTTTGGTCACCACACTACTAACCATCCGGGTATCACTAGCCATTGCTTCGTTAAAGAATTGATTAAGCCACGGCGCATGACTTGCAAAAGCATAAATTGACCTCCCATGGCAAGTATAAAATGGGGTTTCGTCACTATTCTGAAACCACTGGCTGAGATGGTGCCATGGATCAGTCAAGGTGGGATCGAGCATGGCTAGTAAAAACGGCGTCATGCTAAAAGGGTTACTCTTTAAAAGGAGTTCAGAAGCAGAAGTGAGCAGATAACCCTTTTGATTATCATTCTCATTTCCAGGAATCTTTGCTTCAATGAAGAAGCCTGAGTGGATCAAAATCTGCATGAGACGATAAACGAAAGGGGCTTTTGCATTCTTGATGGGAAGAGCATCGATCAATTGATCAAGAGTCATCGGCTGGCCATGTTTGTGAATAGCGTCTGGAATGCCTAATTGAATTGCACATTTGACGGACATAGAATTTATGAAGTTGAATATATGGTTCCATATGTGAGCTTGTGCTTGAAAAAGCTCACCAGTATGATCACCAATATTTCTAGCCGAATCCATTTTTTTGTTTGAAATTCTAGGATTTTTTTTTTCGCTTTTTGGTTGGGAATTACAAGTAGAACTCGCATTTTATAGGCCGGGTATGGGATTCACAGGAATAACGTTGCAATAGTTTCTTCTAATAGTCTGACAAGAACCTGTTAGCAAAAAAAACAATGAAATCAACTCAGAAACAAGGATCCAAAGGCAGCTAACATCAGTTTCCTTTTCTTGACCAATTCATATATGAGTATATGGGTTAGTCTAGTCTCCTTCTTGGTGTAACTACACATAATTCAGTGTTTCTGGAGACGTGCTTAAATTAAAGTGTATAATCAGCACTTATTAATTAATTGTTCTTTGTGTCGACTCGTATTATCACTTGAGAAAATCGCATAATGCACGCTGCTGGTGGTGCTTCTTGTTTGGAAGACGAAGAAAAAGAAATTTAAATTGTCACAACTTTTGAGCCGTGGTTGAGTAAAATTTTACGTTGGTGCATCATTCTTGAGCAAATTCTCTTTTCACAACGATCTGGTGTATTGCAATGCTTAAGAAACATTATTCTTGTCCTAAATATAGTGATCGATTTCTTAATTGGAACGTTAAGCCTTGTTTTCTTCCTACTATGAGAGATTTACAACTCTAATGGATTCGAAAATTAGTACTAGCCATTATTGTTAATCAATATCAAATACTAGAATTTGATGAAATGTGGAACCAATGTTATTTTGGGCTATTCTTTTATTCATAATGTATATATGCCTAATTTGCAGCTCTTAGATTTAGAGTCTTCGACCAATAAAATATGGGGTAATTGAACATGGCATGATGCTAAAGTAAATGAAGTGGTCTTTAATTTAGGGTCTTATCTAAAAAGTGTCCATTAGGCATTCATTGCTAAGATGAAGTTCACATGTAAATATCTTAGAAATGTAAAGTTAAATAAAGAAAATTTATAGAATGTAAAGCAATGATCAATTTAGCAAGGCTGATTGGCTGGCCATACCAATTTCTGCTTATGAAGTTAAACTGCACATGTGAGCAATAGAGAGTTTATGAAGTTGAATATTTGTTGGCTTGAGCTTTGATTAGTTTAGCAGTTTTTTTTTTTTTACTCTTAAATGATTTCAATTGCAAGCCAAATAGAAATTGGACAAACAATGTCCTATCAAAATGAGCATATTGAGAAAAACATATATGTAAAAAAATGAATTAAAAAATACAATGAGATCAATTAAAAAACACATTAAATTTGACAAAGTTCAATTAACCTGTGTCACAGCATCTCCAGAAACTGACTGTTTACTATTAATTCAACATAAACAAAACTTAATGCAATGACGAAGTAATAACCAGTTCCTCTCAATTAGTCATAATTCATCAAATTATGCGAGTAAATCAACATGGGTTATCTGCAGAAATGAAAAACAGATAAAAATCATACTGTAAAACTCCAAATAAATATTTTTTTAAAAATTGTAAAGCTCCACTTGTTACTTAGCTTAAACTAGCACTTCATGATATTATCCCATTCTTTGCGTTTGCAGAAATGTTAGAGATGGTGTTGCACATCTCATTATGCATTAGGTTAGAAAGGTCATGATAGACTTGTCCTTGCACCTTAAAGATTGGAATTAGCTAGCCAGTTTCATGAATAACCATACATACGTGCACGAAAAAATCTGGTCAAAGCAAAACTGATTGAAACCATACATAGGTTTGGCCATCCATGCAGTACATAGGGTAGGATTTCTAATTGCCAAAAGTATGCAAGTCATGAATAGTAATAGAACATCAATCAGCAGCCATTATGATTTTAAAAAATATATATATTTTGGTGGGTTTTCTAGCCGTAGCTCAAAGAAACTATAATTTGAAAACGGTAAGAAAATCATTTCAAATTGTAAACATCCCATGACTCTACTAACTTGACCAAGACTTATTGAAAACAAGCATGTGTTCAATTTCACCAATATTTCATTTGAAAATAGTACATAAAAACAACTCAATTAAATACAAATTGAATGAGATCTTAAAGTCTATTAAAAACTGATAGGTTATTAACCATTTGAGATATAGACCCTAATCCAAGGATGTTAAGCAACCTAAATGTGTTGTTTTATGGTGTGTGAACTGATAGCTGCATCCAAAATGGCTACAGTCTTCCATTTCGCCTACCTGATCTGCTGATTACCACCTAATTTCTTACATCTTTTTAATTTTCGAGTAATTTTGCCACTGCTTAAGTTGTATTAGTAAGATTTGAATACGACATGATTTTTTTTCATATGTTCATCAGAACATTTTAGATATAATTAAACTATGTTATGCAATTAACTTGGAATGAAGTTACAAATTTCTTGTTATCAATTTTATATGCCAGATGTTGAGGATTTAACTATTATTAGCTTCTTTGCTCCTTAGTGGTATTCTAACTGAATTTTAGCTTTATAATTTTTGAGCAAGTACTAATATAAAATTCAGTTTAATAACAATGAATGCATAAATGCAGTGAGACAATAGAGCAATCCATATCATATGGCCATTTGTAGGCAGATAGATCATTGATAGTACTAATCTACTGGCTAATTGCATGAGCATTATAACTAACACTCTAAGGTGGAAAATGAACCTATAAATTTTTTTTACCGTGTATATTGCTGCTGCACAAAACAAGAATAATATTAACAAAACAGCCTCCATTGATCTCACATAGATAAGCAGACATAGACTAATATCTCCAAAATACCTATCTTGTACAGACATCCGTCACTAAGAGAATCATCAGACTTCACTCTTATTATGTTTTTGTCTAAATTTAACATCCCAAATTTATTTTCATTAAAAATTTCCTCTCTTATATGGTTAAATGGGACATAAAATCGTCACAAAAAAAAAAGAAATAATTCTTTTCTATCTTAAAATGGGACCTAAAATTGTTATAACAAAAAAAATTAATTCTTTTGAATTTATCTATTAAAATTTGAGGTATCCAAATGAATAACACCAAAGATTGACAATATGTATAATCGTCATTAGAAAATTAAAAAATATATATCCAATTCAAATAGAAAATTTTGAACTTTACTGAATCATCATCATCATCAAGTAACATAACACAATATACCAAAAAAAAAAAAGGGAGAAAAATCCAAAACAGAATATGAAAAAAAAAGAAAAAACAACAAATCAATAAAAAATTAAAAATAAATGGAAATTAAAGTAAAAAATGTAAATATGGACAATGAGCTCATGCAAAGGTGATCGGACGTTAGCAATTGTGAAGACGTCTGAAAAGTACACCTCGGATGGTACATCCGGACTATACCTTAAAAAAGATAAAAAGAAAACATATTATGTATAAAAAGTCTACAATTCCAACTATCAATTACCTGATTTCTAGTTTCACCTAAAGATTTCATGGAATCACTGTCCAATAAGGTTTGTAATTTTGCATGTATGCATCATTAATTCCAATAGTCGAAATAACCAGGGCATCTGGTATACATTAAAGTTTATGTTCACTATGTGTATCTAAAGTTAATGCCTTGGGTTTGGTTAAACTTTCTTTGATTGTTAGTGTTTATTATTTGGCTATTTGATGCGATTATTTTGAGCAAGTTATTTGGCACTTTAGCTCTTTAAATCATGATTAACTTGGTACCATTAATTGTGATTGCTAAATGTGTTGTTTCTTCAATGAAAATTGAGATTTAACACTAGTTCAAAAAGTGCTAAACCTATGGTGTACACTCACGAGAGTAGAAGTGTGTCTATGTGGCTTTAGTGATTCATTTCATGTAATTTCATAGAAGAAATGAACTTGTAGCTAATTTAATAACCACGAGAGTAGGTATAGATTAGTTATAAGTATAGTTGATTCATTACGAGAATAGGTTTCACATGCATAAGAAAATTACGCCATAACTAGCTAAGATAGTAGTAATCAATGATCCAAAAATAGCATTTGCATGAATGGTTAGGAATACCATAATCTAAGGAGCTTTCATTTGTTTTTATCTTGCATAAGTTTAACATAGTTTTATCTCTTTTAATTCATTGATCGTCTAAATAATAGAGAAGTTTTAGCAGTGCCGGTATTTGTCCAATCTTTCTCATGGGATTGACCCGATATTTGTCATAAACTACTAATTTGACCTATATACTTGCAGTCAAAAAGGGTATATTTCGGAATTAAACTTGTACTTATATCAAAAGCCCATCAGTAGCTCAAAGAAACTATATTTTGAAAACGATACGATGAAAATCACTTCAAATTATAAACATCACTTGACTCTATTAATTTGATCAGAACTCACCAAAAATGAGTGTGTGTGTCCAATTTGACCTGTATTTCATTTAAAAATATACATAAAAACAAGTTAGTTGAACACAAACCGAATGAGATCTGGAAGTCTAATACAAATTGGTAAGTTGCTAACCATTTGAGGTATAGACCCTAATCCAAGGATTTAATCAGCCAAAATATCTTATTCTAGGTTCTGTGAACTGGTAGTTGCATTTAAATTGGCTACAATCTCCCATCTCACCTACCTAATCTACTGATTACCATCTAATCCCTTACTCTTTTTTTTTAAATTTTCAATTAATTTTGCTAATGCTTAAGTGGTATTAATAAGATATGAAAGCGACATGGATTTTTTCATATGTTTGTCAAAACTTTTTAGATATAACTAAACTATGTTATGTAGTTAACATGGAACGACCTTACTATTTCATATTATCAATTTTACCTACCAGATGTTGTGGTCTTAACTATTATTAGTTTCTTTGCACCTTAGTGGTTTTCTAACCAAATTTTATGTTTAGAATTTTTGAGCACGTACTAACGTAAAATTCAGCTCCACAACAACAAATGCATTAATGCTATGAGATAATAGAGAAATCCATATCAAAATGCTCAATTGAAAAAAAAAAAGTGAAAGAAAAAAGGAACGAATATGTCAGATGTGCTGTAATTTCATTATTGGGTTGTGTAAAAACATTTTCATTTTGACAATTGAACATACATA